TTTAACTTTACACCACTTAATACGGCAAACAGCATAACAGACAAGCATGTCTCAGTACTCAGTACTTTAGCCACCTCCATTTTAAATGTAACGTACCATATCGAATTAAACCATCCTAGCTATCTTTGGAAATATCTGCTACTGAATGAGGAACGTATGACATCATTTTTGTTTTTTGAAGTTCTGTGTATTTTGACTAAGTGAAGGCTTCAACGCACATACAGTACACCTTGACTGCATCAAGTATTTTCTATTTCTTTCTGTATATTAGGATCACGTATTTAAAGAGGGAAATACGAGATTCTATTGAGTAGGATTGTGGCCTAATTTACCAGATGAACTTGTTCTACCTCTAGTTCAACTTGTTAATTTATAGGTTTGTGAACTTTGAAAAACGTGAACTATGAGCGTGAACTATTTCATTTTTAGCTAAGTAAACTGAACTTTTAGCTAGTTCTTTTTAACTATGAAGTGGCACAACAATGATGACAGCCTCCATATTGTGGGAGGAGAGAGGCGGTGTGGGGGGGCAGTTAATTTTGCTGCAGTCTGAAGTCTGACCATTAGATGTTACTGAAAATTACAAATTATGGCTTTCAACATCTTATGCAGTTTATCATGGGAAACTGGAGAGCATTTGGTACAACGTTAAAGCTACTGTATAAAGCCGCTGATCCAAACTGAAAGACCAGACAAGGGGAAAGTTAATTAGAAAGTAGCAAAGGGCGCATGATAACCTTGGAGAAGCTGTCAAGGTACCATTCTCAGGTGAGAAAATAAGGAAATGGGTCCACTCTTTGGCTGTGTTATTAACAAATCTGCTGTTTGTTTTAGTTTGCAGTTTGCAAATATTCACAAGGCAACTGAAAGTCAGAGGTTATTTTGTTCAACCATTCTTTAATGGTAGGATTTAAAAAGAAACCTCATCAAACAGGCCACAACAAAAAGGATGTACCGAAAGGAACATGTTAATTAAATCATGGTGTGTCCACTAATTACCACCACAGGTGTCTACAATCTTGTAATCAGTCAGTGGGCCTATATGTTGGGCTATAGTCACTGTGCTGTTTGGCATCATGGTGTGTATCAAGGGTTGTCTATGGATATTACATAATAATAATAATAATAATAATAATAATAATAATAATAATAATAATAATAATAATAATAAAAGAAAAGCATGTGAAAGGCTGTTAATATGAAATAAAAGAGCCCAGAAAAAAGCCTGAGTTGACTAAATTGGAGATGACCAAGGAGAAGGCTCTCTTTACTGTGAAAAATGGAGGAGGCTCTGTTATGTTGACGGACTGTGTTGCTTCATCTGATACAGGATGTCTTGAATCTCTGCAGGTTTCAATGTAATCTCAAGACTATTGAGGGATTCTAGAGAGAAATGTGCTGCTGAGTGTCAGAAAGCCTGATCTCAGTTGCGCACTTTCATCTGGTTTGGTCTGCCGCGGTTTCCGTAGACTCGTGAACGCGCTTTTAGGAAATCCTATACACTACTGTTTATGCTCTAAAAACATTCTAAATGACTTCGTTTCGAGTAAATTATGGACGCTACCCACTCAGGACACTTGGAATACATTGGACGAGCAGTATGGAGGAATATTGACACGTTTTTTTTGTGGACTTTTATGGACCTTTCTGCCTCGGGCACCATAGACCTCCATTATTTGAATGTCAGCAGACAGCAAGAAGCCTCCCAGATCTCCAGATGCATTTGAGATATCAAAAAAGTACTCCAGAGTGTTGTTCAGCATTGGGTTGAGTAGAAAATGAAGGCTAATCATGTTTTGGGTGTACTATTCCTTTAATGGGTCTTCAACAGAATGATGACCCAAAACACAGCTAAAAACACCCAAGAATGATAAAAGGGAAAACATTGAACTATTCTAAAGTGGTCTTCTATGGAACCTGACCTAAATAGTATTGGCCATCTTCCGAAGGAGCTGAAACATCCCATCTAGAACCATTCAAATCTGAGTTAAATGAACCAGTTTGCTCATAAGGTGTGGGCCAAAATACCAAGTGAAAGGTTGCAAAAGTCTCATAAAAGTTACGCGAAACGCAGTGATATCCTTAAAGGGTTGTGCAACAAAATATTAGGTCAACGGTAAAATAATTTTTGTCCTGGCCTGTTTCATTATTTTATTTTATTTTTTTATTAGTCTGTTATAAAGCATGCTTGAAAGGCAATGCCTGAGTGATTTGTTCATTTTTACTGAATATTTTATCTATTCTAACTTTCTATGACCATTGTGGGCTTTGTTTACATTAAACAAGGGGTACCAAACAATGTGTCCATGTGTGTACACAGTGAATCATGGAGATTATAATTTCATGCTTTGGAAAATCTCCTTTCAGTGGGAAAAGGAAGATGTTTAGATTTGACATTAAGATGGATAGAGACTGATACATAGCAATCCGTTAAGAAAATGTTAGAGGATGCAAAACACTTGAGCCCTGGGCAGTTTTAGTTTCAAGCATGAGAACACTAAACATTATTGTACAAGGATTGACCTATTTCAAAGCATATGGCCTTATCAATATTCAGACCAAATGCCAAATAAAAATCAGCAGTAAGACTTGAAATTGATGTTCAGAAACACTCAACCTGACTAATACCACATTTCAAAGGTAATATTTACTGTATAAATAATGTTTATTTTTAACATAAAATGCCAAAAAAAGAACATTGAGGTCTTTGGTTATAAAGTTACACATGTGAAGTGTTTAGGTTGAACGGGTACTTCTGCAGAGGACTTTTAACTTCAATCTATTCTTTTGCAGACAAAAGTATTTTCCATGGCTACTTTGGGATTAATGCTTACAATGTTCCATGCATTAACAAGAAAGAGGCAGGAAGCAGCAGACAGCTTAGTGTGAGATGAAGTTTTATTGATTCACAGTAATGATAAATGAATGGGTTGTGATTTGACTCTGACTGAGACAGTGCGCATCCACAGTTATCTGAAGTTCCTTCAGGGCATGAAATATAACAAAGCTTATCACTGCCATACCTTAAATTCTTCCCAACAAAGTAAACATGTGGGTTCAAATTAGTTTTTGTAAGAGCACCAACATTCCCGAACCGCTCTGGTTTATTTGTTGTCATCACAGCAAAAATTCAAACTAGTCACATCATATGAAATATATTGTTTAAATGAGGTCAAAGTCCCTGAGAGTATAGCTTTCTATGAATATTACTGTCTGTCAGCGCTTTTAGGGTTTCACTCTCAGCTTTAAAGGCGCAAGCAAAACTGGCCATAGAAAACAATATCCCAGTGCTATGCATAGAGCATAGGTAGCAATACAGTAAAACGAGGAAGATGAACCAACTCATACTATGGAGTCACATAGTTTTAAATAACACAAACAACAGAAAATGGTTTTATGTCAAAGTCAAAAGCATTAAAAACAGCAAACCTTAAATTCAACATTTCTAGACTTTAACGCTACACTCCTTCAAGAAAATGTAAAAGATATGAGGTTGACATGAGACGTATATTGTAGTTATTAAATTGATTAAATTAGTCAGAATTAAATGCATCAAAAACCATTAACTGAACCATCTGAACAAGTTAAGCCATAAAACCAAAGTAAAAATCTAACAGATTAAAAGGCTGGGTCAGCAACACTAACCCCCATGAAGCTTTTTAAATGTCTGTACAGCTACTACTTATTCAAAAAAAGAGAGTACAGTACATTTCTGAGGGCCTCTTTTAGTTAAAAAGAGGCCACTGTTTACTACTTTAAAGCCTGGACAGTTTATTTTTCCTCCCAAACATGTTGTTTTTGTTGAGAAGCTGGAAATGCCAGCCTGTGGTCTCCATGAGGCTGACAACAACAAGGCAGTTTTTTTTTTTTTTTTTTTTAAATCTGAACATCTGAATAAATCATTTACCAGATATCATCCACTTCTTATTCTTTCCTTAACTTCCCATCTTTCACTGAGTCTCTCAGATAATCAGTATATATAGTGTAGTTTAAGCAAAAATGCTAAATCAAATTATTGTCTTTTCAATGATTGTAGAAGTAACAAATCCATGGTGTTTCTTTATAAAGCACAAGCCCGAGCCCTCAATCGTAACTGTAACCTTAGGTCTAACCAAGCGGCGGTAATTAAAAGGCTTTTTATATGTTCTGAAACCCAGCCCGCCTGTCTACCACAATACTGTGGTTTTGTCAGACCAGTTTTCTCTCCCACAAGAGGCTGGAAGAGGAAAACTATACAGTTACAATTGTTTTAATGATTAAAATAACACAAACTAAAATTATTCATCTACAGGATGAAACATTACAGGATAAACATTTTACCCTTGATGAGTATACCTGGAAAAATAGAAAATATTTTAGATGTAACGTTTAGATAAAAATCTAACAACTTGTCATGCTGTATAGAACCCAATAAATAAAGTAATAAAATACAGTTTCAATAGCAAAATGAACGAGAAACCTGATGACAACCCCTTTTGGAGTTTCCAGTATGTAAAATGATAAAGAGGTTAAATAAAAACATAAATTTAAAACATTGCGGCTAATTAATAAAGGGACTTGATCTGAATACTTGTTAAAAAGATAAAGTGCTTTCTTCTATTAAACAAATGACCTCCTGTTATATACTCGAAAGGTGAAGCACAACATATGTTATAAACTGATAAAAGATAATTTGTGAGAAAAGTAGAATTTATAAAATAAAGCATGTCTATTAAACAGAAGTATTGAAAATATGCTGTACAAAATATTAAATCTAAAACATATTTAAGATTTATGTGACATAATATTACAGTATTGTTGGTGTATGAAAAGAAAGCACCAATATTCAAAATTAACCGACTATAAACTAAAATGAAGAGGTTTGTAAGCTAAAGCTAACATCTGAAATTTGTTTTAACTTTTTTTGCAAAATGTGTATAAACGAGTTAATTAACCACACTTACTGGATTATGACATAAACCACACAATCTCATCTCTGTTTTTCCAACAGTAAATAGTTTTTATATCCAGTTTAGGAATGACACCAGTTTTCCTTTTCTTTTTATCTATGTTTGTTTTAAGTATTAATTGTTTGTACTTTGGTTAAATTCTGAACAGCTGAAATCTATATCTTATCTTTTTTTCTTTACATAGCAAGAAACGATGCTGACAACGCTACAACTTCACCTCTGCTGCAACCAATAAATGTTCTAGTTAGTAGAAGACTTGATGCGATAGTTGCTGGTGTCACATATATTCAAGAATGTTTTACCCAGATTTGCCAGGACACCAGCAGGCACTGTATCATTATAACTGTGGGTTCTACCGTCCTGAGATGCCTGGGCCTTTCGACTTTAGCCTACTTTAAATAGTCTCTGTGCTTCACTAGAAAGCCTTTAGTCTGGACCCTGCAATGAACTACACAAAATTGTTGGTGATTTGTCTTTGGTGCTCAAACAGGTCTTCCGTCTCTGCGCTGTAAGCATCCCCTGTAGAAAACAAAAATACAATAATATCAGAAAAACTTAGAAATCTGACTGGATGAAAAAAATAGAACATTTTCAGTCTTTACCTGCATGACAGCTGTACATATAAGCTCTGTGGCCATCATATTTGCATCGACATCTCATGACGTTGTTCATAAAGTCAGACTCAGCCATATCCAAGGAGGGGTTAACTTCCACCTGTAAAGCATGAAATTATTATTTGCTTGGTCTACTTTCATTGTGATAGTCATAAAAAACAGTATTTGCAAAAGACAGGAAAAATCAAAAGTCTTTGGAAAGACTAACTAGAGCTATACAGGCCTTCCGCAGAGACAACCTGCTACAGGTTGCAAAACAGTAAAAATTTTGAAATGGTTTTAACTTCCAGCAACACAGCTATACTAAACATACAACTAAAGCTGCAATGGAATAGTTTAGAACAAAGCATATTTAATATGTTAGGCATGTCAAGAAAAGGGTTAACTTCTACAGACAGCTTGACATGATTCATTGCTGGCATTCCTTCACTGGGAAAGTCATTGTAAGAAAACAGTAGTTTCACATAAAAACAGATCGGCTGTTAATAAACACCTCTCATGACTTGTATTGTTTTTATAGTCAATCTATTTCTCAGCTATAAACAGACGGCCTTGATGACTTTTCCATGCAGGTTTCCAGTTTGTAAAGATAAATACAATGTGGGGAACTTTTAAATGGACCTGAATCTTGGTCAGAAGATCAGAATAAAGCTTTTTGTCCAAAGTACAAAAAATGTTTGATTCTATAGTAATGCATTTAGAAAAACTGTCAGCAAAAGGTTTATCTCGCTTAAACTTTTGAGAGTCTTAGAACCTGGCAGCAACCAAAATATGCAATACTTTGTGCAGAGCATTGCTCACAAAATATTTAAACCCCAGTTTGATATTTGAGAGATGGGAACTGTGTAAACTATGGTTGAGGCAACATCATGAGGCAGGATATTTTTCTTTAGTGGGTAAAGGGAAATTGGTCCAAGCCGGTGTACCAAGCCATACCAGACCACACTACATTATAACACTTAATTTATAAAGCTCCTGAAAAAAAAGCCAACTGAATTTTAATTGATAAAAAAACATATTAAATGTGTAATTTTTTTACCTTTTTCATCATATACATTCATTTCACCGAAATGTGCAAAAATGCTCAATTTAATCTGTTAAAATTTTCCGAAGACTTTTAATTGTAAAGATTTGGTCAGATGTTATTCAACAACTATCTTTCCTAGACTAAAATAATGAAATATTTCTGTAAATTATTTTTTTTCCTCATGTTTAACTCTTTCAGTATCAATACCAGTGGTGAGGTACACACGTCGTAACATGTGAAAAGTACAAAACATCAAGATTCACTTGGCACTTGAAATCTGGACTAGATTTTTATGTTTAAATAACACTATTTAAATTAAATGGATTGCAACCAAGTGAAAAAACAATGTGACAAAGACTAGAGGAGGGATGCCCTCGACTTTACACTGCTAGTAAAGAAGCACAGGCCCATGCAATGTCTGGGCAGCAGTTAGGCCATTATTTCAGCTGTTTTTTGGAGAGCTGAGGTCCATTTAAAGCCATTGAGTAAATGAACCATTCTCTAGAAATGCAGATAAGGATGAAAGGTTCATTTTGATCTATATAGAAACAGGATGTTGGACTATCTCTCCCAAGAAGACAGACCATCTCTGACACACACAAGTGTAAGGATGCCTTTTCTGGGCTAGGGAAAAGCTATTTTCACAAATTTTGCATATAACATTTATCTATCATTATGTTGGCTCTATATTTGATTAAGTCAATAACAATTATTGTTTTAATATTCAATAGATGGAATTCATTTTCTCATTGATAGCCTGTAACTTGTTGCCATCCTTCATGCTGCTATTACCCTTTCTGTCTCTGGTGGCATTAAAAAAATAGTAAAGAAATCAAAAACGCTGATGGTCAATATGTTACATGGAGCTCTGTCATGTATGTTGTCTTTAGAGTCACTAAAAGCATTAATCTAAATGAACAAGATGTTACATATAGGTGCAGCAGATCAGACAGCTAAGTGAGCCACATAAAGAAAACCGATTTGAGGTCGCTGAAGACTCCAGACCGAGCAGGTTCACAAGAATAAAAATACTTAGCAGCCACAAAAACACAGCATGTGTTAAACCTAATCATGTTAAAAGAGGCGTTGATTTCAACCTGTAAAGAAATGACTTGATCCCTTGCTGTTCCCCCCCTTACTAGGAAAGTCACATTAAGAAAATAGTAGCTGCAAGTAAAATTGTAAGAGGGGCTATTATTAAACAGCACTGGTGAGTGGTGTCATTTTTATAGCCAATCTGTTCCTCAGCTATAAAAAAAAACAAAAAAAAAACAACCGGATGACTTTTCCATGCTGAATTCCAATTTGTAAAGATAAATAAAATGTGCCGAACTTTCACATGGACCTGATGCCTTAAAGGATTTTAATTAGGATTTCCATATATGAGCGTGTGACCATTTGAACACTGGCTTTTAACATGTTTCATGGAAAATATGAAACACACTGGTGGATCTGTCAGGAAAAAGTCATTGTAAAAATGTTTATACCATGTGCCAACTTCTTTATATCTTGCCAGACAAAACTGGCCACTGAAGACTTTCTGCAACATTTACAGGGGTCTGATGGAAAGAAAATTATAACATAGTGCATGGTTAAGTTCTTGCATGAGAGGAACGTGCGCCCCATCTCATACCACTATAACTCTGCAAAAATAAAAACAGTTTCAGCCTAAAAGCCAAGTCTGTTGCAATAGAGCAGTTATGAGTAAGCATGTTTATATGTCTGAAATCAGTCATATTCTGGGTGCTACCATACATGTTCTAATGGCGTGTCATTTACAGAGCAGCTCTGTAACCTGCTGATACAACTATTCTACTAATCTTGCCAAGGGATAATACTGTGAAGCTATTAACTCTAATAGCTGCTCTGTAAACTACTACACCCACTTTAAGTAAAGGTTCCAAACAGCTTCTGGTAGAAAGAAGCCAATATACACCAAAAACAGGATGAAAACTTTGAAAACAAAGCAATGCACCAACAAAAAGTGTCCCTTCATTTTTTTGGAGCAAATTACAGCGTTGGTCCTAAGCGTACCGTGCAGAAGGCATCTCTTAGCTGAAAGGAGGCAGTAAAAATAAAAACAGGGCAGGAGGAATTCACTGGTGGCAAATTAGCCGTTCCTAATGGTAAAGGGGAACTAGGTGCTGCTTTACTAAAGGAAGCCAATAGTTAATTTGGGTAAATTGTTGCATGTCTGGCAGGTTCAAGAGCAGGCCAGCTGTTTTTTTTCTTTGTAAAGCCTGTTGTTAAAGATGGTTGAGGGTTTTTTTTAGTTTAAAGACTCTTAACTTCTTCACTGCTTGGCTTGCTTTATATTTCTTCACGCTATGCTAAACTACTATAAAACAAACCCTACATAACATGTTTAAAATACACAAACCTACCAAATAATGCATACGCATCAATTAAGAGACACTGATTGTGTAGGGGCAATAATCATCAAATGAACCCACTAACTGACTGGGTGACAGCAATAATTAACTAAGGGGTTCATATGGTGAGTGTCACTGTGATTTGTCTCCCACAGCTTGGAGATAATTGGCAGCTTGTCATGATCTGAAGAACCCCATATACCACAGCAGCTCAGGGTTCTGACATGAAAACTGGAGATAATGGGATTGGAGTGCTTGATCTGTTTATGACTGCTAGTTGCAAAGACTTGAGGAAATAAAATGGGTATAAATGGTAGAGGTAGAAATAAAAATTGTGTTTTTGCAGTTTTAAACGGACTAGAAGAACAAAAACCAGTAAGTTATGAATAAGCAACCTGTAAAACTCCCTTTCTACCATAATATATAGTCCTCATTATAGATGCATGAGAAGCTGGCTGCTAACAGAACTTGCCTCATTAGAATCTAAACTGTTCCACCCTCTTGTAGCAGGAGAACATAACATGACCCTAAAACTGGCCTTTACACATTATACTCAAACTGTGGGTGTAGGAAAGTGCACTTAATTTTTCTGTTCGACTACTTTAAAGGGGAAGCAAAAGCACCATGACCAAAGTTGTTAGATTTACAGTTTCCATCCAAGATAGATACAATGGATTGGGAGAGTTTAAAAACACCTCTAACCTGGAAAATGTAGTCCCCTGGTCGTACATCTGTCACATCAACCCACTGACAGTCAATGTCATGGCGATAGGTGTCCCAGCAGCCAACAGAAATGCCTTGATCACCCATGTTGTAACAGGAGAACCTCTTCTGCATCCCTGTGACAAAACACATTTGTCAACATATTTGTCACTAACAACATTCCCAGTTTGGACAATAAAGGATATTCTTTATCAATTGAAAATGATTTCATGTTTGCAGCTTGTATTTTTTAAAATTTATCCACTAACCACAATAATTCATCAGTTGAACAAAGCATAGTATAAGTAACTATAAAAGAAAAGCACACCATTAGGTATTGTTCATATTCAACAGCAGATTGCAGAGGAATAGAGGACTTAGAATAGAGATTAGATTCAGACTACAGCAATTTATAACATGGCTTGAAAGCAAGAAGTAAAAATTCTGATTAAAAAGAAATAGGAGAAAATATTAACAATCCTTTTAAGGCGGTTTTGTCCTTTACTACCCATTAAACCAACTGATAAAGAAAACGGTTCAAATTGTATTAGAAACACTGAGAGAGTTAAGCTTTTGCAGTTGTCCCCTCTTGACAGTCAGATTTGCATTTAAAGACTGTGAACTTCTTCACTGCTTATCAAACAAAGTGCCAAGATATTTAGAGGAGTCTACAACCTCAACTTTTTCATTGTGCATTTCACTTGCTTCTATCATTCTCTGATTCTATCAAAAAATAATAAGAAGATCTTGTTTCACAGTAAGATCCAGGAAGTTATTGCTATACAATTCCACAGGGGACAGGTAAGGTCTCACCATGACCTGATTCTAAACCCTAAAGATAGAGGAAGTCTGTGTCATCAGAAAATTAAAAAAAAATCTAAAGTGTTTAAGACATTCTGAGATAATCGATGCATATTTAAAAAATGCTAGTGGGACAGGACACAGTCTAGTTGTGAACCTGCTCTCCAAAGCTTGAAACTAGACATGCGTCCATTTGAATGAACCCTCTGGACTCGGTCCATGAAACTGAAAAGCAACAATCTAAAACCTAGTCCGTTATTTCAAAGTAAGACAAACAGTGAGTAACTAAAATTTGTGGCTCTATTTCATTAAAATCAGAATAAAAATATGCAAGAAAAATTCTTGGATGTAATCTTTCTTTCTCCACGTGCTTTGACAATCCAAAATGAAAAGCTTAGTATCTTTAATCGCTTCACCAGGTTGTTAAGCAGACTGTAAGGGATCCAGTTTGCCATTCATTTAGGTAACCTCCATGTCCCCTGAGCTAATACATTAGCCACAGTGTGCAAATGTGAATAGTTGGAAGCTGAAATATTTAAATATATTTCCTGTCTCTAATATGAAACATGACTTCATGAACATTACCCTCAGGGCAGTATGTGTCCTCCAGACAGAAGCTGGCTTTGTGTCCCTCTGCAACCTTTGTGCCATTTAGCGTCAGCAGGTCGTAATGGGTGAACACCTCGATGCTGTGGTAGTGCCTGTGATGTCAGAGGGGAAAGTCCAGGTGAAAGTCTGAATCTGCTGACTGAGGGTATTTACATATCCAAACACTGGCTTCCTATGGCTGCTTTAGGCTATGACCTCACTGCCTGAATATGAACAGGGTGTCACCAGAACACCTCTAATAGAGGCTTGTTTTAGGGTCAGATTGGCTGGGCTATTTACTCTCTCTAAGTCAAAAGAGAGCTTTGAAACGTCCATGCATAAGTACATTGTGCTTTAGCAAACTGAGTCAGACTTGATTTTGCCAAAAACAGCTTGTCCCTTGTCTAACCTGCAGTTTTCTTGTCCATCTACCACTGCCGCAGACAAGCTAGCAAATTAGGATAGGTGACAACACTGTTTCTAGCTTTCAAAGAGATAACCAATGTAAAATGTCAAATAAATGGTACCTATGGTTATTTCAGCAAGCTTTTAGCATTTTTTCATTTTCCTGTCAGCCGGTTTAGTTTCTATCAAAGGTGCATATAAGTTACTACACATTGAGGAAGTTGTCATTGCATAAAGGAAACTTTTTCATTTTCTCCCAAAAGACTATTTGTGAAATATTTATCAAGAAGTCTGTTAATAATATTTTTTGTATAAATTTGTGATTTTTCTTTCTTTTCTTAATCTGTGCTATTATACAGCGGAAACTACAAGTGTTGATGGTAAGGCAGGGGAATGTGTGATTCTTTGTGGAAGTCTTCATATAATTTGAAATTACCCACACTTTGTCATAACCAGAACTGAAATGTATAAAAACCAACCCAAAAAAAGTGTCCCAGTGAATAGAGTAGTGAAATTAAACTATAATGTAATGTAAATCCATTTATTGTCCCACAATGGGGAAATCCACTCTCTCCATTTGACCATTCCATAGCAGCTCCGCAGGAATATTTGGTGTAAGTCCGTCTGAATTCATCGAATTCGAGTTTCACTGTTAACATTTGTAAGTTAATGCATTGTATGAGAGAGATGAAAACTGTGATGAAGAGACATCTGGAGATGTATAGTACAGGTCTGTGTGTATTAGAAGGAGATTTAGCAGAACGTTGTGATCTTGGCTAATGGAGAATTCATTTATTAATTCATTCATTTATATAATCTGTTACACTTACAGTAGTTTTGATCCAAAAATAATGTTTTTTACATCAAATGATTTTTCTTTTATTGTTTTTACTTCTGTAACAGTGTAACCGCGACACTTAAAACTCTTGCAATTTATTTCCCACTTCTTGGCTTTTACTGATCCTTTAATGCTGCTGCTCAGCTCTCATTCAGCAGATCTTCGATCCTTGAACCTGTAAAGTTTTTTTTTCTTTGTCTTCAATGCCATTTCTATGAATAAACTCCTTTTGGTAGCAGGGGAAGTCATAGCCTTACGACTTATATGCAGTGTTGTGCCTGAACGCGTTCATTGAACGAAAGTTCATGAACTCGTTCATATTTTGCACGAACGTGAACTGAACGTACTGTATTACTGCCTGATGAACGTTATTGTGAACTCGTTCATTCTGGTGTCTGTGAACGGCACGCTCTCTCAGTTCAACTCCGTTCAATAGGTTGCCAGATTTCTATAGAGTCCTCCAGGCGAAACCCCGGCTAAATCACACCGTAAACAGGCTTTAATATGTAGCGGGGAAAACACCCAATCTGGCAACACCAGCTACCAGTGTCATAGCCTACAGCCGCGTGCGTCATCAAAACAAAATGCAGCGTGGAAGCCACAGCAGCATGGAGGCTACCGTGGATGCGACAAAGCAGCAGTATGATCACTTAAAACAGGTTTATGACCAGGTGGTCGGTGAGGATGATCGCAACAATCTTACATTTCTCTGCAAACTTTCCCCGCCGGCTTTCAGTAAAAAAATCCGCACTTAAATCTGCCTGGTATAATTTTCCAGGATTCCAGTATTCCTTTTTAGTATGTACTGAAATGGAATTTCAAATGGAAAAATAATTAAAAAAAAAAAAACATTTGCACCTTAAAGACTACTTTCCTGTTTTTCTTTTAATAATTCCTCATAAAAAAGACCATTCAAGCAGCACATTTTTCCTGATGTTTTTGAGAATATACTGTAGGGGTGAAAGCTGCAGCTGCTACTAGTGTGAAGTGAATGGACAGCAACAAAGCGTTAAAGCAACAATGGGGAAATGCTGTCCCCTCGATGCTAATGTAAACCCTGGTTGGATAAGGATTCAAAACTGGATATGAAAATGAAATCTGACGCACAGTTTCAGTGTTACAACTGATAAAATAATTGCTGTCTGTGGTTCTACAGTAGGCTATGATGTAATTGAGCAATATATGAAAAAAAAAAAAAGAACTATGAACTAGTTCATTTTTTGGAACTGTGAACTTAGTTCAAAATTTTGAATTATGAACTATGAACTGAACTAGTTCATTTTAAAATGTGTGAACTGAACTTTGAACTAGTTCACGTAGAAAGAGAACTTTCCCAACACTGCTTATATGTAGCCTTATATGGTAATAATAAGGCAAGAAATATGCTGAATTACATTTCTTGGGAACATGAACTCACTTATGGCCAGGTGGACTGCATCAGGTTTACGAGGATTATTTACAATCATTGACGGAAGCTAAGAATGTTTGTTAAATCCGATGTGGCGGATTCGTAAGAGCCAACTGCAGGAGAAAAAAGTAAGAGAAAGTTAGGTCAAGAATGCAAAAATGTTGCACAAGGCCCACTGACTCTTTAAGAGGTACTGAATGACAAGAAAAAAAAGTATTTGTTTCAGCTCAATGCTGGTCTTGTTGGATAAGTGATAATATGTCTTGAATAAGATGCCATAACCGCAGTTTTAGACATAGTAGATGATATTAAAAAGCAGAACTAATCAGTTCCAATGTTCATATTAATCATTTAAGAACAGATGCAGATTTGGCTTTTTTAGTCCATTTCCTAGAAAAACAGGGAACCAGATTGTTCCACCCCAAGATTATTCACCAATAGACTGTCACCTCCACCTACTTCTTAACTGTGAGCTCCTACCTGTGACACTGGTGCCATGTCCAGCTTTCTTTAGTTGCCTTGGGTCTAAAGTCGGACCGACCGAGGTTCATAATACGGGAAGAGAAGCGCAGGAGGCGTCGGTGGCCATAAGGCCAGTTCATTCTGGCAGCAGATGATGACAGACAGTTCTCTTCATGAGCACAAGTTAGCAAGTGGAGGGGTCGATCTTCTAAGTAGGTTGTTTCCTGGACTAACTGGGCATCTACAACAAGGTCCGGAGCAGCTAAAAGATGTAAGATGAAATATATGTTGAAATTGTGGCAGCAGAAGAGAAGAGACATCGTAAGGTTTGTAAAAAAAAAAGGTTTAACATACTCTCTGAGCATCTAACCCCAGCAGCCTTGGCTCCTCCTCCCCGAGGGCAGTGGACATGGTTGTTGCGACGACATTGCTGGATGGAAAACTCTGTTCCCACACAGTGAGTCCCACTAAGTATCACTTCACTTGCGTTTGCATTACCAGACCAGTACCAAGTCTCCTGCCAAAGTAATAGCATGTTAAAACAACCAACATGAAGAAGATCGCCATGGCTCATTATTTAGAGAACTTAGAAATGTCCATTCTCCAGGAGGTAAAGTAAGTCTCATTTTGATAACTAAACATGTTCATGAGATTTTGACAATTCCAAGAGATCAGATGTTTATATATTGTTGTGCGAAGGAGTTCTGCTTTATAATTCTCATAGCAGAAGCCTTTAAAACTTTTAGAAAAGCTGGCACTTTTAAGAGGAGTTGTAACAGGCTGAGTATGTTACCTGATGAGCACTCGCAGCAAAACCCAGGCCGAGCTGTCTGCACACCACCATTGCTTCATTGATCCCCCAGTTTTCACTGCAGACAGCGCCCCAACGCTTACGTCCCCCGACCTCCATCAAAACTTCTACACGTCCTTCTGAAGAGGCTCTACCACCCGCTAGACGCACCTGAACAACAAGGAGATTAGAAGATCTAATGGGTCACACACACTTCTGACTGGCATCAAGAGAACTAATGATCTAATTTTTATACCGTTTTCTCTGCACCGGTCTTGGGAACATTACAGCGTACTGAAGCATCCTGAGTGTGTTTGAATGTCCAAGGTTGAACTTCCTGGAAGAAGCAGTCCAGTATAGAGCGCTCTGTCCCCATACACTGTACATTGTTCATATGAATAGGTCCTGTACCTGAAAATAAAAGAAAAGATGTCAAAAATGAGAAGAATGTGTGTAAGAATAATGTACTAAAACAACTCGACAGCTATATATATTTTGTGTCTTGTGCCATCCAATGCAAACACAGTGCTGTAAGAAAAAAAAAGGTGACACCTTTAACATCAAACAGTCAATGAAAAGTTTATATCTGTCATGACAAAACAGTCCTGCAAGCCAAACATGTCAGCAAAAACATCTACTTTAGGCATCTGTCATACCTCATTACCACCATTCTTTTTCTTTGAGCACATCAACAACAATCACATTATGTGTAGTCTGCCACCCTGAGTGAGCAAACAAGGCCAAATGTGTGTCAGCTTTACAAAAGGCTGACTGGTGTGTGTTAAGATCGAGATAATCTTTTAATAATATAGACAATGATGGGCGAAAAGGGTCTTTCAAAAGCAGTGGTGTAAATGGCTACAGGATGTGAAAACACAGACCAAACAGCAGCTTTACTATTTCCTTAAAAGGTTGAAAAAGAAGAACCTGCATGGCAGCAAACAGAGCAGAAATCACACAATCAACAAGATAGAGAAAAACCACAAGAAAAGGGGGGTGAAGAGAGATAACAGAGTCTAGATTGCAGCCTAACTTGATTTGGTTGTGTGATGGTTTTAACAAATTGTAGGTTAGCTTGCAGAGTGGTCATCATGCGTTGGTTCACACCGTGTGTATAAAAAGTACAGATCTTCCCCACTTCCACATTTATCTGCCACAAATTTGATCTAATCTCCCAATGTTTAACTTGTTGAGGGAAAGGCTCATGAGAGAGATCCTCAGAATCAACTGTGGCATGATCTGTTTAAGCCTAACCCTAAAATAAATCCACAGAAACCAGCCACACATGCTTTGATATTCAAACAAACAAACAGGCATGAGGGTGCCTTGGTCTCATTTGTAACCATTGGACACTCTGTGTACCTCGATGGCAAAATTACACAGTACAAATAACACAGTTGGTTTAAAAAGGAAAGAGAGACATTTTTGTGTCATTTAATTGAGTGTTCATGATGATGATGATGATGATGATCCTAAACTGAGTATGTACTGGAAAAAGGCTTGATTATTTAAACCTTTAGAAAAAACAAAGAGAAGAACATGTTTTAATAAGTACTATTTTCAATATTCTGGAGAATAATAAATATCTTGAAAAAGAAAATGTTTTATTATAAATTGCGTTCCAGTAAATATTGTGCAATGTCTTTGATTTTTATTTCCCCAGACATGATCAGATATGAGTTTTAGTAAATTGGATAAATTAAACGTTTGAATAAGCCTGTCCCTCTCCTGACATTTAGACGATTAAAGCCCACCAGGATTGTAACCACATATTCAAACCTTAAAATGTATAAATGGTAGCCTATATGCTAACATTTTCTATTTTAGTAGGTGTGATAAATGTGCTATAGTAAAATAAATAAAAAATAAATAGTTTATATATTCAAGTGTCTTGTTAAAAAAGGGTCTTTGTTGATCTACTAAGTATGAATGCTTGCCAGTCTTTTTGTCTTTTTGTATGTTAATAAAACTACATTATACAATTTGAAAGTTTCCCAAAGCATAAATTAGCTCATCATGCTCAGGTGTGTTTCAATACTTGTTTTGGGCTTCTGAACAGCTACCATCAGCTGTACTTCCAAATCGCTTAAACTATTAAAGCCTGAATATTGGATATATTGCTAAATTTAGAAAGCTAGCAATATCATAAAACTTTCAATCCCAAAACATTAGTGAGAATCAATTTATCTTAACTTATTATAGGGTCTATGTTTTAGGAACACTAAGAATAACGATAATAAAATATGTTAATCACACATTAATTACCTGCTCTCTTGTGGCATTCATGTTTAAATTTCCAAAACAAATGTATGTAGTGAGTTTCCTAATGTTTTGTAACTCTACTAATCTCCCATTCAAATGTTCCAAATATGTTTTCGTCTTTTTTTTAAACTTAACTAAATTTGGTACAATGTGAGTAATGGAAACTGATGTTAATGGAAATGATATATCACAGCAGTTGTGCATTATAGGCTACATGCTATAGACGAGGAGCTGTGATAAGACCTTGACATTAAAGTAGCAGGGTACAGTACTGTATATGTGAGCTTTCGAATGAAAAGCAAACAAGGAGCTTCGTTTTTAGCTTTAACTAAGTATGTAATTAGAGGGTGGCTGTATGCTTCACTAGCCTCATCCCTCCATGATAGCAGACCCATTCGTAGAGATATATAATGTAAACCATTTTTTTATGTGCATATAAAGATTTTCCAATTTGAAAAACTAATAATAATAATTGCAAGATAGTTGGAGTTAAGCAAGGGACAATAAACTGCGAGTAAACCAGCTTTAAGTTGCAGTTTAAGCTGAAAAACTTTCCAGCATAATATACTACCTGCTGTTTGAAGTTATTTTAATGAGATGACAGACAGACAGACAGACAGACAGACAGACAGACACAGCTATACTTATTCCCATGTTGCCTCACAGTTCCAGTCATCTGGCTCTCAGAGGGCTTACACGTTTACAGTTGTGATAACAATTTGAATTTATAATCCCTTTCTCTGACATTCCTTTATAAGGTATAATGTTTAAACAACTATGGAGTTTATTTTTATTCATCATATGGACAATCGAGTGACCCAGTTATACTTGGGTGCAGAAATTGCAGCTTCTGAGTGCAGCAGTTGCAGCTGGAGTGGAAAACAACTCCCGATGACAACTTCTCTCAATGCAATACCTCAATGCATTGACACATGTGCTGCGATGAAGATTTTCAAGGTATTGAGATTAATTGAGATTGATCTCACAGTGGAGAAATTCCCTTGTCACATCAGCTCAATATATAAGAGGGTGCCAAAAGGAGGAAAAAGTGCATGGGGTATATACAGATCATCCACATATGTAGGTTTAGACTTTATCATATTTTTGCGTGTTCAGTTTTGATGTTTAGTTTTTTACTTGCGGTCCTTTCAGGTATTTCCTTCTAAATTGCTGAATACCAACATGTAGAGAATGTATACGTTTTTGAATGTATCATTCAACATAAAGGTGCCAGGACAGTTAACTACTGCTCATAACCCTTTAAACAGAAAATAACTTCCAAATAAAAACACAAATAATTAAATAAACATTTGGTAAATTAGACTTTAGCTGGTTAATCAAAAAGTAAAGAGGCAGAAATGGCATCTACAGAAATAGCATAAAATTGAATTGGCTTTGATCATCCAAAATGCTGAAGCAGTGAAACATCATCCCACATTTCATCCTCTTCAATGTAATTTAGGACTACACCCTGGTAGCCTGAGACATGGGGAAGCTGTTCTCCCTCACATATCATAAGGGTGGGGACACCACTGAAACAGCTGGATACTGGCTGTAACTGTGGGTGACACAGGAGCTGGACATTTCCAGTTGAAGAGTGGAAAAAAAAGCATTGGTGAGTAAATGAAAAGCTAGCTTAGATCTTACAGGATTTCATCTCTGGGTTGAGTTGCTAAATACTAAAATAAACCACCATAGTCTTTTTGTTAGAGTGTGAGTGCTCATGCACATGTGTTTGGGCAGCTGGTACCACTGGCACAAAACTCACATAATCACAGCTGGAGATAGAGCAATCAACATATTTGCAGCTCACAAGGTAACACACCTTGAAAAAAAGGCAAACGCACATGCCAGGACATTATCTAATCAGTCAGGGCAGACGGGTGCGGTGTCTGCAATAAGCAAAAGATAAGCAAAAGTCTCCTTGTTCTCCCTAGAATACCATGATGCGCAATAAACATATTTGAACCACCAAACTGCTTAGAACACCTGGTATAGATATATATTTATCAGAAAAGCTCCAAATGTCTTTTGAGTGTATCTGTCTTACCTTGGCCCATGTATGCTCCGTGCAGGGCGTCCTTGGCGGTACCAAACCCAAGCTCTCTGCACACAACACTGGCCGCCGTTCTGTCCCACAAGCGATCAACAATTGTCCCCCATTTCCCATTTCGTAGAACCTCTACACGGCCTTCACCCAACCTGGGACCTGCCTTGAGACGCACAGGCTGTACAGGGTAGAACATTTAGATTGAGATTCCTTTCTTTATAGAACAGAAACTGAAACAGAGACAGATAGTTCTAACATGGATATAACTCTTTTAAATCTTACCACCACTGGATAAGGAGCCTGGGGTCTTCCTGAGGAGATGCGAGCAAACTGAGGTCCTGGTATGCACTTGGCCACTGCAAATTGGCCATTTTTACATGGGGTTGGACTTCGGGGGATTGACAGCTGAGCGTGGCACTCTGATAGAGTGTTTTCTGTGCCCAGACAGTGCACCTTCTCTACCCAGAATCCTTTCTTTTTTGCCATTTGGCTTAGCCTGGAGAAACAAAAAAGATAGTGTGTTATATATTTAAGCTCTGGACAAGATGATGTCCCATTGGTTAGATTTTTAGCGATGCTAATGTTTATTTCTTATTATTACAACAGATTATTTTTAGTATGGTCCTTTTAACCACAGAATATAATCAACAGTGGTGTAATCAAATCAAGACGAATGTATCCAAACCAACGTTCCTTTATTGGTGAAATAGTGCCTGTGCTTGTAACTGTGATTAACCACATTTATTTCAGGTAGGTTTTATTGGGCTTGATTCCGCCTGATGACCACAAGACCTATAGACTCAAGAATTAGCATTGTCCGACAAGATTAAGTAGAGTACACAATCTCAAAGGGCAACATATCCTCACCAATATAAATTAGTTAAATTCAGTGAGATCAACACATTTTTGAAGAGGGTAACAGCTCACCTCTAAGGCTTTTAGACTCAAGCAAATCACAGTAAGAACCTTTTTGCAAAAATGGAGAAAAAAGGGAAATGGCAAATCTACCTAGAAGTAGCCATATATATAGCGAGAGCACACAGAAGTGCCCAGTATAACATCTAAAGGATTCTAAACCAAATTGGCCTCAGCTAAACTCAGTTTTCAGGATTAAACAGAAAGAGACAGGGAGGGCAAAACTTACATAAATGGGAGCTTGCTTTTTCAATGTCACTCCATTGTAGTGATTTATGGATCATTGCATAATGAACAACTTCCCATATACAAATGGATAAATCAAGCTTTCAATGGTTGAACACAGCATTAAAGAGGTGATCATAATGCCTTCAGGGTCTTTCTTTTCTGAGGTCCTTTAGACACCAGGAAAACACCCTGTAGTAGAACCAAAACTTGCTGGAGGGACAGCATATATCTATTCTTGGCTTTCCCTAGCTGACTAATTATATGAGCAACTAACTCTTAGATGAGACATTTACTGAATGGATGGAATTTTACCAGCAAACAACAACAAAGTCCACATTTACATCAGTAGAGCTTGTTATAGTTTAGCAAAACAAAAACTGAAATCTAATTAATTTAATTTAAATTAATTGAAACAGATCTAAATCAGGACTCCATGTATCCCATGCTATTCATCTTTGAACATGTAGTTGTTTTAATTACCTTGTTGAAGGATCTTTAACCTTGTTATCCCATATTTTCCTGAAAAGAAACAAAACCAAAAAAGTCAAAAATTATGTTAAATATTTCACAGTTCTGTCCTCTTCTACCATGACGTACTTAGGCTGTTGTAGAGTCAAAAGTTATTAAGCACAAAGCTGTGAAATGAGGACTTAGTTGTGTAGGACCCACTGAATCTAAGAATTAGGATCAATATATAACATGAGGCCAACATTATATGCATACCAAGTATGAAGGATAAAAAATAAAATAAAAAACCACCTAATATATTCTGAACTGTAATGTCACCATCAAAACCACCCATGCAATCAAAAAAAAATGTTGCATGCCATTTCAGCGAACCAAGAACAATAGACAAACAAAAACTGTGTTACCATGAGGGAACTAAGCAGTAATGTTTGGGCTGGCTCAGTTCGGATGGCATTGAGGAAATCCCTCTGTTCAACCCGCAGAGACATAATGTAACAAAGAGTACATGCTGCTTGGCCCAGGCCAAGTCATCCGCAGACCACTGCAAAGGCCATATTCCTTCTACAACAAAAACATGATCTAAATTAAACCGATACACATGGCTACAGGCAAGCTACCACTGTCGTGATGTGGCTTGTACCAATACTTTATGTGGGACACTATATTTCTTAAATGTCAAATATCTTATCTGCCATAACAAGAGAAATTAACCTACATTTCACTGGAAAAGATGATGTATTAAAATTAATGCACTATTTTTCTACCACATCTTTCAAGAACACTTAAACGAAATGTTTACTAAAACTCAGTATGCTGTTTTCAGTAGCTCTCCCATTTTGGAGAAACAGACACATCTATGTGTATCTGAATGAAAGCGAAGGCGGGTCAATATTTGCATTGCTGACATGAAACTCAGCATGCTCCTGTAATAGTCAAAGCACAAACCTTGAAAAACAAACTGAGGATGTTGGAATCAAGAGGCTCGTTGTCCATGACCTAATGTCCTGTTTGACAGCTGCATGAAGTCATGGATTGATGAATGTACACTTTCCAGAATCATATAACCTATTTCCGTGAAATATGTGCTGTCCTAAAAATATGTGTTTTTAAAAAATATTTTAGGATGGTTTCATATTTAGCAAGCCTTTATTCTACAATCATCTGAGCTATGCATTTACTCAACTAGATATTTTATACCCAGTTGCCTCATTTCTTTTTTGGTCCCATTAAAGTACAAATGCAATTACAAAAACCATAATGCAGGCCAAAACTTTGATTATTTCCAAATGAAATTAAGACTTCTGAATCAACCTAATTTAAATTAATTCGAAACAATGTTAGGGCTAGCCTAGAGAAGTTCGATAAACCTCAAGCAAACTGTGATTGTTTGGAGCTCTGAATTTATCCTTTACAGTGTCTTAAATTAGTCTTATAAAATACTCTAATGTGTCTGTCATGTGGCTTCACAACAGTGGTTTATAGAGAGCAGAGTGTGTATGTACACTCCTGATGAGGCAAACATGTCTGACTTGTTTGTGACCTCACCACAAACAAATCAGCTAACCGTTCTTCCTTTTCAGAGAGCAGGCTGTAAATGTTACATCCTGGTCTTTCATTTGACTAAACTACAGGTGGTTTGAATTTAATACATATTTGCATATACCGGTAGTTGTAACAAAGAGAATAAATTTGTCTGAATTCAGTTTTTGTTGGAGCGTCAATGAACTGCACTAAGACAGCTTACTGTCTGGGCTTTGTTTAAAAAACGTCTCTGTAGGATTTGTTGTAACAAAGATAAATAAAGCTTAATAGTTGATTAATACATAACAGCCAGGTGCCTGAAATTCTACATAAGATGACTCACTTTCACCCAGATTACCAATTTATTTCTAAAATTATTTGCAGTTTGCTGCATTAAAAACTGTGTAAAAAGATTTACATGTATAAAAACATGCAAACTAAATATATGTGCAAAGCTGATCTACTAAACCAAGTAGGCTTGTCCCGATCCGATACGTGGATCGGATCGGGACGCCGATATTGGCAAAAAAATGCGTATCGGCAAAGCATGTAAAATGCCGATCCAGACTGCCGATCCAGTTTTTTTAAAAAAATCCGGTCCGTATTTTCCAGTTTTGCCGATTGAAACGATCCATTCCACTATTTTGCGCCAGTGTTTCCCTGTTTTGCATTTTTATTAAAACTTACAGTAATACTTGCACCTTTAACTGTTTACGGTTTTACTGTTCACTGTGCAATTTCAGATTGCTATTCATAATTTTGTCCAGTTTGTGTTTATCTCTTAATAAACAGGTAAGTTTGTTGTTACCAAGCATTGTGTTTCATTCAGTCTCACCTAATTTAGCTGGCTAGATGTTATCAAGAGTACTAAAACCCTTTTCAACATGAGTCTTACAACTAAGGCTAAATACTTTAACTTAAACTTAAATACATGGTCGGATAGGCTGGTATCGGCCAGTATCGGTATCGGATCGGAAGTCCAAAAACAATATCGGTATCGGATCGGAAGTGCAAAAACATGGATCGGGACATCTCTAAAACCAAGTGCCTATCAAATTATATGTGTAAGAGGAAAGGAAGCACAAACACTTCTGTCTGTGTCATCATCAATATGCAGAACACAATGCTAATGACTAAAACTTGTAAAATACCGGTAGGAGGATATTTAGCACTGCTATATCTGGCACGTTTGAAAGACATCAGAAAGCAGGCATTTGTACAATGACAGGCATTTGAGATGGAGACTGTGCACAATTGAATAGATTTGGACTGCCTGAAATAACAGCAGGTAAACGTATTTTGTAGGGAAAACAATGTCTACGTGGGACCTATTATTTGCATTTTTTCCTGCTGTAAATAAATGCAAGCAGACAAAATGAAAAGCAATATGACACAATAAAAAAACAACAACAAAAAAACTATAGCATGTTTAAGACAAACAAAACTAAACATTAACAACCACCAAACCATCAGAGAGCCTGTAAAGAATAGAGACACTGAGGGAGGGGACAAAGAGAACTCCCCTATGCATGCTTAAAATTTAGATCTTGAGCTTTATCTTTTCTCCGTGTTACTCTACTGCCCTATATGGAGCAGATTATATTGTATTACCTTGGTTTGCATTAGTTTGGGTCAAGTGGGAGTTGTGCAGGAGTTGGTGTAGGTAAATACAGCTGGTTAAAGCTAGATTCCGCTGTAGACCTAATAGTGGCTGCTTCAATAACTAATGTCTATCAGGAGGGGTTACAGGGCAGAGAAGACAAAGTCAGCCTATTTTAACCCTGTAATGCCAAATGTATCATATTTGATACATACGGTTTCTGGAATGTTTTGCGTCTGACACCTTTTGCATAATTTAATGGTAAAAACTTTGCTCAAACTCCTATTGTACACAATCAGATATACCTGATAACAGAGGGCAGAAGACTACACAAAAAATTATCTTGACTTATCGCATAGTAATAAATTATTAATATCAAAAATGTATTTCTATTTTTTCTTTTTACATATTTTGTTAAAAGGCAAAATAAGGACTTCAAACCAAAAAAAAAGTAATTTTCTGTTTTGTTTTATTCTTGGATCGGGCTTTAAAGGGTTAAGGTTCTTTTATTTTTAAGGTACATTCTTAAACTTCAGCATTACATATTCAAGATGTACATGTTTTTAAACACGTCTACTTAAAAAAGATGGATCTTACTGTTTTTACAATGTGTCAAAAATGATGTTTTATATGACTTCTCTACTTCAGTTGTACTTGAAAGGAATCTTGCAGAGTGTGTTGCAAGCCTGAAGCATAGCCACTGGAATGCATGCGATAATTAAAAGATGGGAGAGTAAATTAGAGAGGTCATTGAGGAGGATCACACAGACACCAGACAGGAAAACCACATTTGGACACAAAAAATGTAACCATAAAGCCTGAAAATGATACACTTATTATAAGAAAATTTGAGCTGAAAGGTCATTAAACAAATGCTGGTTAAGTCCCCAAATCACTATGGTGACAGAGCAAGACAGACAGCCGCTGACACAGCGGACAGTGCAGCAGAGCTCAGTTGTAATTGGCCATATTTCACAGGAGCAAGCGAAAACCTCGCACGTCAGGCTCTTGCTCTCTATCCATCTCCCTACTGCCGCCTGCTCTTGTTACTCGCTTCCATTTTCATTGCCAGCTCTCTTTTACTCTCTCACACACTCGGCTATAATTGGGGGTGTTTTTTCACCCTCAGTAGAAACCCAGAAGAGCTTTGGTCCTGACCAACTTGTAATTACAGCATCTTCAGAGTTGCGTCCAAAAAACACACAGAGCTGAGAAACATGGCAGGGTCGAGAATTTCGAAGAATGGACTGAAAGGCTGAGTTAGGAAGAGGAGGGTGGCCGCCTATTTAGAAATGTGGCCTATTTAGAAAAACTTTGTAGTTCTTAAAAAAAAATATTTCCAATATGAATTTGAGTAATAGAGAAACAGCTAAAACATGGGGGCCATTGTACTCTGAGAAGCAGTCTGCAGTTGAAAACACATATCAAGAAGGAGCAAATAAGCATCTGCAGAGACTGCAGACAGGTAAAGATTCAGAAGCAAACACATAATCATGATTCAGACCAGTGTAGAGCCTTATACCTCAGCAAAACACTGGGGTTATATGCAGGCCAAGCTGACAGAGAAATAACAATTCATGCACACTTCTATGCTACAACTCTAAAATGAGCACACCCAAAACAATTCAACATAGTGGGATAAGTTTGCCCAAACCTTTCTCTGTATGTGTAGATATAACAACTATTATCCACTTCTTGTGGCCTGAGTCAAATCCCAAGAAAGCAAAAGAAGTCCTTTTATCAAGGCTCCTTTACTTGACCTTTGGTGAAAAATTAAAAAGTAGGTAAATTCTCTATAGGCTTAAATCTGTGTCCTTCAAGCTACTGCAACCCTGTTCTCATCTGTCATCTAGCGCTCCTTGGTAAGGTGCCAAACGTCTCCTTTAATGTTGCTGTAATACAAATCTACTCATCCAACTCATCTCTTGGATGATGCTTGTGTGTCTCATCTCCAGCTCTCTGCTGTCCAGTCTTAACTACAAGAGGAAACTGAATTGAGACACAGAAGGGTTCACAGCTGAACTCCAAGCATGCTATAATAATAAATGATCTTATTCAGACCATGAACAGAGCCAGGTTGTGCTGGTAATCTCCACCTTCTTCATAGAACCATTGATGTTGTGTGATTTCCTCTCTAAACACCAGGAACTTGTTATAGCTCATTGGTGTTCCTAATTATTCAAGAATCTAAATTCCTGTTGTTGCTCAGTTAGAAAAACAGCTAAATTGAGGAATATAAGGAATAAACCAAAACCATGAAACAGCATAGGCCCACCTATGAGCTGCCTTCCAGTTGCAAAGCTCATTGGGTCCAACTTAAAAGGATAAATCGATAAATATTTGTGGTTTATATCATCTACAAAGTTAAAGCATGATTTTTAAATGCTTTTCATTCTTTAGCTAAATTTGTCAAAGTTCAAACAAAGTGAACACTTAAAGGTTAATACAATAAAACGAGGATCTTGGTTGCAAACATGTAAATGATATATAGTTTAGTATAAACAAATTAAACTGGGTGAACATTTGTATATTTGTATATACACTGTAATGCACTGATTGGAAACTGCTTGTGTCATAATAAATCGAATTTATATTTTAACATCTTAAAAACTTCTATTCAATTTGTATATATTTTATTTATATTTAACTTATTGGTTCTGTATGGTGTATAAAAACTGTATAACTTTGTAAAACTGGATGTGATTGGTTTATAACATTGCAGTGTTCTTTAGCCAACTTTCAACATTCAGTTTTTACCCGTCTGATCTGGTGAAAATGCTATTAACTTTAATTAGATGCATGTTTTAACAGAAACCTATAAAACATTGGTCTTATTGGTCAGATAAAATACCTTTTCAAATCAACTTTTAAGCAGGTATTAATATCCTATCATAAGGCCAACATTTCTACATGAAAAATGCTTTTATTGGTCTGATGTAATGTTCTAATTTAAATAGTATTTTCATTACTTCCTCATAATTAACAAAAATAAAGGCTTAAAGTGATTAGTCATCATTTGGTATAATGTTTCTATTGGTGAATTGAGCTACTAAAATAAATGAACTTTTAAATGAATGTAACTGTATGTACTGCATTTTCTCAATGTAAAACAGATTACTTTTCAACTTTTAGTGTACTTCTGTAAAAACAGTTTTGGTGTGGCATTTTGTTTTCTTTGTATTTATCGGTTTCTAAAATGTTGTCTTTAAGAAGCCAATGCTATAATCAATTAACTTAGATAAGGTCAAGACTACCTTTTAAGTTTACTTCAATAGTCCTAAATACTGACTCATCACATTTGTTTGTTTTTTTTACAAGAAGAAATTTTATTTTAAGCTGCTTCACATAGACTCCTCGCATATCCACATTCGTAAATAATATGTGTTGATAGGAATTGCACACATACTGAAGATACGAGGAGGCTAGATGTATAAGCAAATACATGATGAGCTGTACTTGAGGAAGATGCCCTGTCAATACGACAAGTCCTTTTCCACAAACCCTGATTTCACTTTCCAATAGTAATCTCAGCCAAGCATGATATTAATGGCCCAGTTTCCCCACAATCAGCACTGATATCACAGCTCAGTATGGGAATCTAAAAGTTAAAGTGCTGCTTTTTGTCTGAGAGCTTCAGCAAGAAGATAGCATCGGAAGGAGGGAGCACAAAGATGTGAGAGAAAGGCAATGAGGTGTGTAGGGGTGATTTGCCAAGCGAGAGGTGCAGAGAAAGGGCAATGGAGGGGGGACAGGGATCCCTTTATCATCATCCTAAGGCTGAATAAGGGGGTGTAAATGGTGACACGGTGGAGAAGAGGATGCGCAAGAAAGATAAGCCTAAAGCGAGTCATTTGCTCAAAGGAGCTCTGAATGGGGTGCTGCTGCTCTGTTTTTATTCTCCAGGAAAGGTTTATATTTATAAAGAAATTTCTGTTACCCAGCAGGTTACTCTTCTGAAAACAGCTTCCAAACAGCGGCACTCATACTCACTTGTATGTTTTGACACTATGCTGACTTGCTTCTGGAAAGCCAAGCATCCCACACACCACTCGGCTGCTGTTGAGACTCCAACCTAGGTCACAGACTTGCCTCCATCTCCCAGCATGCTTCACTTCCACCACACCCTCTGTAATAATTCTCTTCTTCTTTGTAGCTGAAAGGATCGGACGCAGACGGACCTCCTCAATCCGCACTTTGCTGCGACCCTGTCAGAAGAAGGGACATCTGGTCTATAAATTGACATCTGTCTTAGAAAAAGAGGAGAGATAGCCCAGATGAAGCACTACCTGGTAGTGGTGTGGCCTGTGGAACCTTGGGATCTCCTGCAGATGACCATTTCCATAATATCCGTAGCCTGGATGCCTCTGTGTTGCCACAATACCACCCCACTGAGAAGCAGTGTTACCAAAAGGCCGGACAGGTGTAGTGTGACTTCTGCTGGCAGATTGCTCCAGTCTATGCTCGGGGGTGCACACAACCCCTAAGTCTTCAGAGTGTTTACAGTCATTTACCCCCCAACCATTGTGTTTGCAGTCCTTCAAAGACTTCTCTGAGCCATCACACCGTACATTATCCATCCAAATAGGACCTTATAAAAGAAAAGAAAAAATCATAACGTTATTCATTAGGGCTCTAAATGATGGCTCTATGCATGGCTTTGAGATACATCCCCACACAGCAGCTTAAATCAGCACCCTTAACATCTAACACTTGACGTTAACGGGCAGGCTGATTTAGGTATGCACCCTAGCAGTGTGTTTAGCAGTGGATACACAGTATTTTACAAGGCAGCACAGAGGATGTAGATTCAGCCTCGTGAATACACTCAAGCTTCTCTTTAATTTGGATTTAAAAGCCCTGCTAAAGAATGTACATAAACCACAGCAACTGTTCCAAACACTGGCAAGCAAATAGAGATTTTTTTTCTCAACTAAACTGCTTCTCAACTGCTTCTTTTCTAGCCATAACTTTTTTTTTCCGCTGGCCTGCCACTCATCCTTAGCAAGCTGTAGACTTTAATCTCAGAGTTTTTCTTTGTTTGCTCATAATCTTAGTTATTTTTAAAGTCTGAGTGGCTGTGTTTGCTAAGACACTGTAACCTTGTCCAGTAAGGATTTTTGCCACTGCTGGCAACCAAGAAAATATTTGTACATTTTAAGTTAACATAATAGAACATTTTGGTAATCATTTTTATCAGTAAAGTCTTTACATCAGATATAAGGGATTTATGCCCTTTCTAGTCAAAATAAGTAATTCTGGTTTTCAGAATTTTTTCTTCTTCACATTCAACAATAAGAACCATGTAGGTACTCCCATTGCAAATAAAGAGCTCCCCTTTTGCAGTTGTGTATAAAATGAGTTTAGATCAGAATATCAACAAGTAGTTCCTTCCAATGTAGAATGAAAATTGTAGATATTTCAAATAGAATTTGAACAAAAATCCCCAAAACTATTGCCAAAACTATATCAGACATGTGTATTTTGATTTAAACACCAACATTATGGGTATAGAATCAGAACTTGCAGGGTTGTTATTGATTTTTCCACAAAAATAATCAAGATATAAACTAACCACAATATCAACTACATTTTAAACATTTCTGATTTTAGAGCAGTTTTCTTAAAATATGGGGGAAGTGGTTATCATGTGTTCAGATGTTTGATTTAAACAATCTGCAAGTTATGAAATTAATTTTAGGAAGTGAGTATTGACTGAACCATCTTTTCCAAAAATCCTTTCTACAGGTTGAATCCCTGATAATTATATGAAGTAAACCTTTCTTTCTCAAAGTAACATGCCATCCAGCATTTGGTCCAAAAAGTAGTGAATAATTTGATTCATCTGATGATGTATACCATTTTTCTTTTCCTACCCCCCCAAAAAAAATCAATCAAATCAGTCAATTTTAAAGATGCTTAAAGTTTCATTCTATGCTTCCTGAGATGTTTGAACATAAATATGGAAGCCCGTTTCCGCCACTCTGTAAAAAAAAAAAAAAAAAAAAAAACTATCTCAATATAATGAGATAGTAACTCAATATAATGAGATAGTATCTCAATATAATGAGATAGTATCTCAATATAATGAGATAGTAACTCAATATAATGAGATAGTAACTCAATATATTGAGATAGTTTTTTTTTTATTTTTTACCAATTTTTTAAGTTAAAATTGAGTATTTTTGGTCAATAGCTCCCAGGTCATGTGACCTATTGATGCAAAATCAGTGTGAAATTGTTCTACTAGTCTCTGTAGATGGGGCACACTCATTTGTTTTTCATTTTAACTCTTTTTTTTATTTTTTAAGCAATTTTTTAAGTTAAAATTGAGTATTTTTGGTCAATAGCTCCCAGATCATGTGACCTATTGACGCAAAATCACTTGGAAATTGTTCTACTAGTCTCTGTAGATGGGGAACACTCATTTGATTTTCATTTTAACTCTTTTTTTTTTATTTTTTACCAATTTTTTAAGTTAAAATTGAGTATTTTTCGTTGATAGCTCCCAGGTCATGTGACCTATTGACCCAAAATCAGTGTGAAATTGTTCTACTAGTCTCTGTAGATGGGGCACACTCATTTATTTTTTCTTTGTATCTTTGTATCACACAAACTACATACTACAATCTCAAGGGAATACAGGAAGGTCAGGCTCAGTACTGCCAGTAATTATTTCACGTCTGTTAATCTCAGCTCATGGCACCCAGTGCAGGAATCTATTTAGGCTAAAAAATGAATTAATGATCTGAACGGAACATTGGTGAATATTACCTTATTTTTCTAATTATTAAACATTGTGTTACATTGTTATTTACTATAAGGTGACTATGCCCTTTTAATAAAGCAAATTATTTTTTAGAGATGTTGCTTTGAGGGCTGCACGGTGGTGCAGTTTGTAGCACTGTTGCCTTGCAGCAACAAGTTTATGGGTTCAATTCCAGACCAAGGGTCATTCTGCATGGAGCTTGCAGTTTCTCCTGGTGCAGGTGTGGGTTCTCTCTGGGGACTCTGGCTTCCTCCCACAGTCTAAACATATGACTGTTAGGTTAATTGTCATCTCTAAATTATCCTTAGGTGTGAGTGGATGTTTCTGTGATGGACTGGCGCCCTGTAGGATGTGCCCCACCTTTTGCCCATAGAGTGCTGGTTATAAGCACTAGCCCAACCATGACCCTGATGGAGTAAGCAGAAGAAGATGGATAGATAGATAGATAGATAGATAGATAGATAGATAGATAGATAGATAGATAGATAGATAGATAGATAGATAGATAGATAGATAGATAGATAGATAGATAGATAGATAGATAGATAGATAGATAGATAGATAGATAGATGATAGTCTAATCAACCTAAATTATGTCAATATTAATTTAGAAAATAGATTCTCATTTGTCCTAATCAAAGTATTGACTTATATCCAATTAAGATGCTGCGTGACCTTAAAAACTCTGTGAATGAATTGATATAACTCAAAAACAATGTATTATCGTTGTTTTCTGTATTTTTTAGATTATCTTGGTCTTATATAAATAGAAGGGGAAAAAAATGCAATAAGAGACTATTATTTTTCAAAGTATATTCTGTATTGGAGTTTTGTTATTCCAGAGACATTATAAGACCAACCTCTTTTTTTCTGTAAAGTTCAGTTTGGGCTGCTGTTGCCAGCGCTGCTGTTTTTAATTAAAATGAGATAGTAACTCAATATATTGAGATCGTTTTTTTTTTTTTTTTTACCAATTTTTTAAGTTAAAATTGAGTATTTTTGGTCAATAGCTCCCAGGTCATGTGACCTATTGACCCAAAATCAGTGTGAAATTGTTCTACTAGTCTCTGTAGATGGGGCACACTCATTTATTTTTCATTTTAACTCTTTTTTTATTTTTTACCAATTTTTTAAGTTAAAATTGAGTATTTTTCGTCGATAGCTCCCAGGTCATGTGACCTATTGACCCAAAATCAGTGTGAAATTGTTCTACTAGTCTCTGTAGATGGGGCACACTCATTTATTTTTCATTTTAACTCTTTTTTTATTTTTTAACAATTTTTTAAGTTAAAATTGAGTATTTTTGGTCGATAGCTCCCAGGTCATGTGACCTATTGACCCAAAATCAGTGTGAAATTGTTCTACTAGTCTCTGTAGATGGGGCACACTCATTTATTTTTCATTTTAACTCTTTTTTTATTTTTTAACAATTTTTTAAGTTAAAATTGAGTATTTTTGGTCGATAGCTCCCAGGTCATGTGACCTATTGACCCAAAATCAGTGTGAAATTGTTCTACTAGTCTCTGTAGATGGGGCACACTCATTTATTTTTCATTTTAATTCTTTTTTTATTTTTTACCAATTTTTTAAGTTAAAATTTAGTATTTTTGGTCAATAGCTCCCAGGTCATGTGACCTATCGACCCAAAATCAGTGTGAATTGTTGGGTCCCCCCTTACATGGGCCCACCACCCGTGAGAGGGGCCATAAGGGTCGTATGCAATGTGTGTTGGCCGGGGGAGGGGACCCTGGTGGTCCGATCCTCGGCTGCAGAAGCTGGCTCTTGGGATGTGGAATGTCACCTCGCTGGTGGGAAGGGACCGGAGCTAGTGTGTGAGGCTGAGAGGTTCCGGCTAGAAATAGTCTGTCTCACCTCGACGTATGGTTCTGGTTCTGGAACCAGTGTCCTTGAGAGGGGCTGGACATACTTCCACTCTGGAGTTGCCCACAGTGAGAGGCGCTGGGCAGGAGTGGGCATACTTGTTGCCCCCCATCTCGGCGCCTGTACGTTGGGGTTCATCCCGGTGAACGAGAGGGCTCCACCTAAGGGTGGGGGGACGGGTTCTGACTGTTGTCTGTGCTAACGGGCCGAACAACAGTTCAGATTACCCACCCTTCTTGGAGTCCTTAGAGGGAGAACTGGAGGGTGCCCCTCCTGGGGACTCCCTTGTTCTGCTGGGAGACTTCAACGCTCATGTGGGCAATGACAGTGAGACCTGGAGGGGCATGGTTGGGAGGAATGGTCGCCCCGATCTGAACTCGAGTGGTGTTCTGTTGTTGGACTTCTGTGCTCGTCATGGATTGTCCATAACGAACACCATGTTCAAGCATAAGGGTGTCCATATGTGGTAAAAAATAAAAAAAGAGTTAAAATGCAAAACAAATGAGTGTGCCCCATCTACAGAGACTAGTAGAACAATTTCACACTGATTTTGGGTCAATAGGTCACATGACCTGGGAGCTATTGACCAAAAATACTAAATTTTAACGAAAAAAATTGGTAAAAAAAAAAAAAAAGAGTAAAAATGAAAATCAAATGAGTGTGCCCCATCTACAGAGACTAGTAGAACAATTTCACACTGATTTTGGGTCAATAGGTCACATGACCTGGGAGCTATTGACCAAAAATACTCAATTTTAACTTAAAAAATTGGTAAAAAATAAAAAAAGAGTTAAAATGAAAAACAAATGAGTGTGCCCCATCTACAGAGACTAGTAGAACAATTTCAAACTGATTTTGGGTCAATAGGTCACATGACCTGGGAGCTATTGACCAAAAATACTAAACTTTAACTTAAAAAATTGGTAAAAAATAAAAAAAAACTATCTCAATATAATGAGATACTATCTCATTATATTGAGTTACTATCTCATTATAATGAGATAGTAACTCAATATAATGAGATAGTATCTCATTATATTGAGTTACTATCTCATTATAATGAGATACTATCTCATTATATTGAGATACTATCTCATTATAATGAGATACTATCTCATTATATTGAGTTACTATCTCATTATATTGAGATAGTTTTTTTTTTTTTTTTACAGAGTGGCGGAAACGGGCTTCCATACATAAATGTACCATTTAGTTTTTAGATATATATTCTTTTATTGACTATTCTATAGTGCTGTTTCCTTTCTCTGCTTTAAAGGGCATTTAAATATATTTGTTTAATTAACAAATGTTTTTTATTTGATGTTAATAATTTTGAAATTATATATTTTTAGAATCACAAAGGTAAGAATGTCATAGGGCATTAAAATAGATGCTGGTGGATGGCAATGAAAGACACAAAATGAACATTTTGATATAAAAAAAATTTAAATTTTCAAATATGAAACCTACATTTTTAAACTTTGCACATATTCTCTGTGCAGTTAGAAGATGCTTCTTCTAAGGGACAACCTTTATACAACTTAGGAAAGGTTTGAATTTAAAGTGGTGCCTTCACCTGTTCCTTCTCCATACTTGGCGCTGTGAGCCCAGGTTACTGCTCCTCGATACCCCAGTTCTCGGCACACCACGTTAGCCAGGTTTATGTCCACCTCATCATCACAGACGGTCCCCCAGGCGTCATTGTGCAGGACCTCCACGCGCCCTTCGTGCGCCTCGCGCGCAAAATTGCCTGCCAGGCGCACCTTAGCGGGCGGTGCACGAGGCGTTCTGCGTTGAGGGGTCGTGGTCCTGCGAGGTTCAGCACGTGCGGTGAAGCTTAGGGACAGCAGCAGGAGGAGCTGGACGCTCAGACCGAGGGAGTTGGTCATTATGGGAAGAAGGAAGAATCCTGGAAGTAGAAAGAGAGAAAACGACTCAGCTAGATCTTAATGTTCATTTAAAAAATAAATAAAATACTGATCATATTCAGCTAGATTAAGAAACCAGCATTCATTTTAACTTTAAGGGGGGGAAAAATAGAACTTAAATGGCACACAATAGTATAAGAGGCCCCTGCTAGAGTATTTTTCTTTTTTAAATCTTTTTTTATTATTATTATTATCAAGAATTGTTTTCTCAGAAATAATTCTTATCTGGTGATTGTTAGTGAGATATGACTTGTTTTGCCTTGTTTTTTTTTTTTTTTTTTGCCAGGTTAGTGACTTTAATCACTACTGCTGCTGTTGCAGACTCACGGTGATGCAGTGGAAGCCATATATAACAAATCAGCACATTTTTCCCTCATGTCAAACGCAGGCATGTAATTTAAAAAAACCTTACCACGCTTCTGTAAGGCAATTCATGTGAATAAACATTCCCCAAGGCAAACTACCCAGACAGAAATACACCAGGCAGGTTTTAACCTGGTGCTGAACAAGTGTCTCGGTACAAACACAAGTGGGTAAAATAGAGAGAGAGAAAAATACTTTTAAACAAGTCAGACCACAGGAAAACATTGTGCCACAAAAAAGCTCTAAAATGTGTGTGGATGTCATTTCAGAACAAAGATTACAAAAAACAAAACTGTCAACATGTAAAACAATGTGCAAAGCACACCTCAAGTAGGAAGCTTGGATGCCATTAACCATTGCTATGGAATAAAATATTAAGTTTATAATATTAAAAGTTTATTGAACTTTCCTGTAACAGTCTCAGTACTCTTAAAGAAACAGGACATAAGTGAGTTTGGAACCCTATTAATCATCAACAAGTCATCCTTTAAAGCACCTGTTACACTCACACATTAAGAACCATGTGCTTACATCCACATAACTAAAATTAACTTAAGGAAAAAGATTAAGCTATAAAATCCCATGAAGGTTAACATGAAGGTTAACTCACCTGGTAGGCAGCAAAAGGTTGCAGTGGTGAAAGTCACTAGCAAGGGGAAAGTGACTGTGTGAATAAGTGTGCCTACCAAATGCTTCTCTCAGTCTCTCACCCCTCTGCCCTCCTTCTCCATATATCCCTCCCTGCTTCTTTCACTGCCTCCCTCCTCTTTCTCCAGATCTCTTTCTGTCATACTGTATATAGAGAATTATGGTTAACACACTAAACAGTGGAGCTGATTGCAGCCACAAAACCGTCTGCATGATGCGCAGATCTTGGGTAACAACCGCTAAAATAGAAGCAGTACTCTTCATCCTTTTATTGGTATTACTTTGTACTTTTACTAGCTTTCTTTTCTTAAAATGTTTATTTCAAATTACTGCTCAGGTTGGTACCTGAAAGTTTATTTAAGGGCGTTAAAGGAAAACAGGTTAAAACATGTATTTTTACTCATATCAAAGATTTAAACAGATATGCATTATTTTTCCCATCAAACTGGTGAATTACTTTTTGTTGATCTTATATATAAAATCCAGATCAGATACATTAAGGCTTGTGGGTTATCTAGTAATAAAATGTGCCAAGAATGCTGTGCAAAACACTTTATACAAAACAGCTGGTTTCAGCATTTATTTTAACACTGAACTGAAACAATATATGCAGCACTACTCAATAAGTTAATGGTTTATAACTGATGTTTTAAATGCAGCAATCCGGAAGCTAGTTTCAAGAAACGTGTAGAATTAGCATAATAATTACATTAGTAAGTTATTTCTTTATTATCTAACTGCTTTTTTCCCCTCACATGTAACGTATTTACACCTCTCTCCTCCTATAGGCTTAACAGATCTTTTACACATCACCCTCAGAGTGTTGCACAACTTCAGGGCCAACGTGTTTGAATTAAACCAACAGGAAGGCCGCTGCTTCCAGAATAGTTTTAAATTCTAAGTTCCAAGTGTCTTAAAGAAGCTCCCTATACCACAGGGTAGATATTTCCTTGTTGGGACAGCCACAAACCACCAACTCTAAAATAGGACCAGCCTCACCGTAGCCATGGTGAACGTGACCGATGAGAATGCGCGTTTCCACCCTGGGCCTGGGGTATGCAAGATTTCTATAACCTCCCATTGTTGAATAAGGAGCATAAGGATTTAAGTCATCGCTTCAGATCCAGATTGATTTATCTGAACTTCGAGATTTTGACCATACCTAAGGATTTTTGAACTGTTTCCACTGGGGGAGCTTGAAACATGTTTGCTTATTGAGTCTTTTTTTTTTTCTTTAAAGAATTTAGACAAATTTAGCAGCATGGAGAATGTTGGCGTCGGGCTGTTGTTTTGATAAGCTATATTTCTGTTTTTAAGTAAACCTCAGTGGGCACCTCTTTAAGGCAGCTTGGTTTATTCATAGACATGAAAAATGGCAATTAGGACCGGAGAGGTAGAACTTAAACATAGAGCCCAACCATTATAAACACTTAGCTGTATGCAGATTTCCAGCTTGAAGCGTGTTAAGTAATTGCACATCAAAAAAACTGCATGTGCGTAACCTTTGAAGCTGCAGCAGACATGTTTGGGTATCACGGAGATGGTGCCACTGGGTGGCAATGTGGTGGTCCCTCCCTTACTGTTAAACCCAGAACAGGAAGAGCAGACCCCCTATTAGTGCAGCCAAATCAGAGGGATCTCTGAGGGTGACAGGGAAGAAAGAAGAGAACAAGGAAATACGGATGCTAAGGTTTAAACCATCACAGTCTGTGGCATGGATCCAGTTTAGTTTGTGACACAGACTAAACATATCAGAATAAACAAACGAGACTAGACAGGTGTCCCTGCTTGTGAGCAAATGCTCTACGGTTCAGTCGGGTGTGGGCTATAGGGAGAGTGCTCCTCAGGGCTCCCAGAGAAATCAAAGGACTATCTGAGAAAGCAGGTCTCTGCGGCAGAAAGCTTTCTCTCTCCACCTCTCTAATTACACAAACCAAGCCAGCTCTGCCCTTACCCACAATCTGTGGAGGCATGAAATAAATACATGCTCTCCAACAATAAACAAGTGCCTTTTCAAATGACATGTTCATCCCCACTGCCGTCTTTTCAGGCTTTCATAATGCTTGGACTTTTGACTGGCAGTAGAAGAATGTAAGTTTCCACTGTAAACCATGGAGTGCAGTAGGAGGTTGATTATGTTAGATTGTGCGCAAATTTCATAAGATTGATTAAAAAAAATCCAACTAATGAATTCATATACTTTAAAACTGGATTATGACCTGATTTGAAATATTACCTGTATAGACATTTAATGTTTGTTAAAAGTCCTATATTAGGGATTTTGTTTATTTAGAAGAATGGAGAGTTCTCTGAACAAAGAATCAATTTAGCTGATTTTTAAAAGTGTACATGGTTGTATTTTTTATACTATGTGACAAGCAATAAAAAATGCATAGATTAGTCAGTATGTTTTGTGGAGGAAAGTTGTATAAAAATTGTGAGAGTTAAAACCTGAAAGAGGCGGCCGGCCTGAGGCAACTGTTGCTGGGGATTCCCAGTGACAGCGCAACGCAGGTATGTGGGGGTCTGCTTGTCTCCGACAGCTAAATTATATTTTAAGGCAGGATCATAATCTTGATGAACTGACTGCACAGACAATGTTTTTAGGTGGACTTTCTTGCTTAAAGGTATAGTGGAGGAAGTTCTTTTTACAGGTGGATCATCAAAATAAGTGGGCCTCCTAACTGTCAATCATTCTGGTCATATGTTTTCATAAGGCCGGCCTTTGTGCTCATCACGTTAGCTTTGTTTTCTTGTGCTGTGCACGTTTTCAGCCAGTCATTAAAGCTTGCCTTTCTCATCACGGTTCTATGACAATGGCCGAGGTTCGGAAGAAAAAAGCATTCAAAAAGTGTATGAGAAGAAGAGAAAGGTCTCAGAAGAGAGAAACAAGACCAGAGTGATTTTGGGAGATTCTTTCACGTGACGGCATACACTGAAAACACAGGTCAGGCTTCCCACTGATGCATCGGTTGCCAGGATTCTACTCGACAGATAAAGTATGGTATGCTATTTGGAGAAATCCATTTAAAAAAAAAAGGTGCTTTTTTGATGCTGAAATTGCGTACAGTGTAAACGTAGCATAAGGAAACGACTGCGTTTCAAGTGCAGTTTGTTTGGATCACGTGTGCCTGTCAGGTGTGCACATAGGATACTCTATAGGTCAAGTCAGATTGGATTGAATGCATCTTCACATGCCAGCTTAGATCTTGTTACTGATTTTCCTTTCAATTTAAAGTACTTCTGCAGGTTTTCTTTTATTGTTTCTTAACAAATCGGCATTCAACTCAGCAGTATTTCATTAAGCACAAATCTAAAGAGTCTTAGTTTAACTATTGATAGATTTCAACTGTCTTAGCTGTCGATTTCTGCTTCTTCTACCGAATGACTGTCTGCCTCTCTGCTTATTGCTCTTCCTGCTTAGTCTTTCAGTTTAGCTATAGTTGTCTTTCTTTCATTTCCAGATGATCAGAACAATCTTGTCAAACAATGAATGAGTTTTAACCTTATGAAAGGCACTGTGGATCTGCCTTTAAAAGCTTAAAAATAATGGGAATCATACTCCAAGTCTCAACAAGCCAAAAGCTCTTAGGAACCCCCTCTACAGAAAGAGTGGACACCATAATAATCTGCCAAGTATAATGGCTCATAAAGCTTGATCCTCTAGTATAAAAATCTTCTATTTATGATCTGATAAAATTTGATTTGATTTTTGGGAATAAAGCACAAGGACAACTCACTAGGACTGAAGCAGCTACCTCTGACCTGTACATACAAGATAGCTCAAAAGGTAAATCCTATTTCCTTTGATTATACTTTAACTGATCAGAACTGCTTTACTGTCTGGTTAGTACCACACCGGATGTGGATCAATGTGTTTTATGAACTCACATAGTAGTGAAACATATATGGGATTAAGGAGAGTTTAGCCAGTTAGGAAGGTCTCAATTCTTCACGTCTTAGAAATACTTTTTAAAGGCTTGTTTTATCTCACAGTCAGTCAGAAACATATGCAAAGGAACACTTGCTCCAAGCTTGTATAGTAGCATATATAAAAATCTTGGTTTTATAAATTTGTGTCCACTGCTTTTTGGAAAAAGGTTGGGAACATTTAATTATAAGCCAGTTTTACAACGTTCTTTTCTTCATCTCCAATCAGTACTTACTGAAATTATCACTTTTTCTCATTTTATTCCAAGCCTGTTTTTTTATTTTATTTCACTCATCTGTGACTGGCAAAGGAAAGACTTATTTCAGACTAAATGTAGATGCCGCTTCTCTGTTCTGTAGTCAAGGGAAATTACAGACTCTTCTCACTCATGAATTTGTTAATTTTGGGTTGTTTTTTCAGTAGGTGCATTGTGGGGTGAGGTGAGATGGTTTATGGGCTACCTTTAGTCCTGAGTTAACAGTCTAGAAGCAAAACTGAGATTTTTAGTCTTTCATTTCTCTATATAACATTTTTCAACATTGTAATACATCAAATATGCAAAATGTGCATTTGACATAAGATTATAAGCAGATCATTCCCCAAGTACTGAATTAGATAAGAGTATCAGACTGTCTTTGTTTCTACAGTTACATAAAGCAGGGCGATAGCCTTCACTTTAGGGATCATTTGCATGAACACTAGCACAACCTATTAACAATGACATAATCAAGAGTCTTGAAAAATATCAAAAAGCCCTTAAATTTCACACATAATCCACCACTCCTGAAAAGATAATTTGGCACAAAAATTATTTATGTTCATAATCTTCCTTAGAAAAATGGCTGATTCACATCTTGAGCACGTTCAGTGTGGCAAACTCCTTTTTAAATCTTGCAGCATTGTGCACTCTCATACATCCGCTGGCATTAAGCCACAGTTCCTCTATTTAAAATGTCATCTGTGGCCCCTTTGGTTGCCTTTTCCCATAGGTTCTCTGGGCTGCCTGCAACTCTCCTTGGTCTGAGCGGTTTTGCACAACTCCTTATTGCTTCATGTCGGCCACACAAGTGTGTCTTCTAGTGATGAGAGGGTAAATGTGCTGTCCCCATACCAGCAAGCATGTTAGAAGAAGACACTTAAATACACATTTCGGTTTCTCATAATTAAAAATGCATAGAAAGAAAAAAAAAGTGTGTAAAGCATGTGGTGGGATCTTCAAGAATGTGACATTTCAGTGCAACCCTGCCACCTTGTGGAGCACATGGCCACATGCAAACATAAAGAGCAATAACTTAGCAGATGGGACAAAATCTTTATTAAATATAAAACTCTTATTTGCATTACAGAAAAAAAAATACATAGTTTTTGGTAGATTAAAAGAACCTCAGCACTCTTTGTGGTATGTATACATACATAACTTCAAATAAAATAATTCCTTAGAGGGAATAAACGTACTTGGAACAAGAAAAAAAAAAAAAAAGTCCAGATTGAAATGTTTAAAAACACTAAAATTTTAAGTATAACATGCTTTAATCAAATATTAGTGGGCCAAAAATAATTTTATACCCTTAAAGAATTTCATTTCAAATACTGAACACCATCAATTCAATGAGGAAACAGCAAATGTTTAAAAAACAAGTGCAGTCTGGGGGTTGTTTTTGTCCGATTCCATTGTCACAAGTTTTAACCACAAAAAACCATAAAAGGAAAGAAGAAGTGCAACATGTGATATGGTTCTAAGCAAACTGGGGGGGTTTGTAAGTTTGTAAAGTATCCCTTGTTAAAAAATATATATGCATATATGTATAAATAGGAAAATAAATACTCTTCCTACGCAGTGCATAGTTTACTAGTGAATGTAGTGTGGACTTCAGCTGTACTTGTTGCCGAGCAAGTGACAAAAAGCATGCCAGCGAGTGTGTAATTCTCCAGCTAGTGTTGAAACTATGTAAAGCCATCAGATTCTTCAGCCTAGTGAAATACTGACATGTAGGCCCCAAGGTCATGAACACTGATTTTCGAAAGGTTTAAGAATGAATGATACATATTACTGATTTTTATTTGTCTATTTATGCCCGGGGTGAGGAAGATGTGATTCTCTGACACTGTTTGCATAGACCTAAAGCAAATGTCACAAAACGATTAGTTGAGGGTCAAAAAAATAATAAAATCTACTAAACGCACACCTAAATACCTTAGTTTGGTTATGATAAACAGATTTAGCTTTTTTTTAAAACTATGAACCCAACTGAAACTGAAACATATCACAGCTCATGTCATGAAATCTAGTCAGTCAAATCAAAACAGGCCTCAAACCTTCAATACAGAAAAAAGAACACTTCTCAGACAGACTCACCAAATGAGGCATTACCATCTTAAGAGGCACTGTTTTCATCAGGCTACATGAGATTTTTGACATCATTATGCCTCACATGCATTATGAAGATAATCAGGCCTTAGCATAACCATACTGACTCAACAATCTCTACGCCTGTTTTGTTGTCTTTCAGTCCAGTTGACGATATAATCGTACCCAAGGCTGAATGATTTAGTTGCATAGGGGAAGTGCTGAAATGTCTTTGGTTATTTGCTGATAATGGCACAAACTTATGCTCCAAATATAACCTGCATGTTTATGTGATATAAAGGCAAATTTAGGAAATGAGTACACCTCATTTCCTAAATGCAGCAGCGTTCACAAACTGAGGGTCGGTTAGCATTCTGCGAGGTCTATGACATCCATTAAAAGGTATTTTTAAAACCTGTATTATACAAGGGGGAGTTAGGATTTTCTATCCCCTCAAACAGTTTTACTTCCATGAACTGTGAGCAAGTGTTAAGTTCCAGTGAGAAAAAGTCCCTATAGGGCTGCCAGTGTGACCATTATCCCTCCATGGTTAATTTTGTACTTTTGAGAAAAGGCATCCATTGAGATCACTGGGTAACAGAACCAGCATGGCGCTCTCAGTCTTACATGTCTAATGTGCAACTATTCCCAACTCCTCTGCCTGCCTGTAATTTTTTACCAAAATATTTTTAGTCCAGAGATCCCGATGCGGTTAGTTCAAGCTTTTGTGGGCAGATTTTGGAGCAATTCGATTCCACCGCCGAGGCACAGTTTGAACATAGTTCAAGGCTGCCAGGGTTTTCTGTCCTTGCCTTTCTGGTCAGGAAAGTGTTTGTAGCGACATTTGTCCCCAAAATGGCAGCCGGTGGTTCTCCAAAAGTAACACTCATCTCCATTAACTGGACCACGTCTTCGAGGACTGAGGTTGAAATAAACAGAGGAAAAAACAGACAAGAGGACAAATCAGTTACTTTGATTTTAAAAAGATAAGGATGAGACGTAGAGTGGCCTGGGGCTGTATATGTTTTTTTTTTGTGACATGTGATCGAGCAACATAAAAATAACACAAAACTAAAAAGCATATTGTTCATATCTCCTCAGCCATCCAAGCTAAAACTTTGCAGAAATTCCTTGTGCTGCAAGTCCAAATTGGTGTTCTGCCAGCCTTGCACATCTAAGTATAGCAGATTTGCTTGTTCTTTATAAAACAGTTAAGGCTTTGTCAGATTGTTCACAATTTAAAAGGGCTCCAAACTCCTGAACCACAAGGGCTGCATTTGTCTATTGTTAGTAGTTTTTGTCTAAGCGGGTAGCACACACTGATGAAGCTTCTTAATGCTGTATCTTGTATAAAGTCTAATAGTAAATGGTTATCATACAATCTGGACACATTAAATCTGGCTTTATTATAAAGTATTAAATCAAAGATGCATAATGTATCGAGGATTATTAAGATGTCTTAAACACCCACAATTGGTCTACTATATGTAGTGAAGACCATGTGTAGACTCCCATTGATTTTAGGTCATTTTCAACCATTTTTATGCATATACCTCACCCCAACCAAATTGACCCCATGGCCCTATACCTAACCATTAGCAAAATAGCATGTGAGGACCAATAAAATGTCCTCACTCTGCAACAACTGGTCCTCAATTTGCTGGTAAAATTGGACGAATGGTCCTCACTCTGAGGGCTAGACAGGTACACCAGCCAGAACTATGCTTTACAGATGGTGAGCTCAATTTAATATTTGTTTTCCCAATCTTTCTCAGCCTCTGATTAGTCCTCTCCTTGCTCAGCTGGTACCTTCACATGGCTGGCCAGGTTTTGCTAAGTTTTATGCATATTCTTGATTTTGAGTTGGATTAAATAGGTGCCTTTTAAGAAGTTTAAAGCTGGGATTAAATTTTGACAACTTTTCCCCGACTTTAAACTTTTCCAATTCGTGATCCATGAGTGTTTTTCTTTTTGGAGGTCTGTTCACTGATGCATCAACAGAACAGCTGTATTCATCCAGGTTGACTCTTAAAATTGAAATGGCTGCAACAAGAAAAATGCCTACCCCTGTCAGATTTATGCTTATAACAAACTATTGAAAACCAACAACAATTTTCCATTTCACTTCATTATACACTAGTGGTTTGGTTAAAATGCAGAACAGTTAAAGGGATATGAAAACATTCACAAGGCTTAAGGGGAAAAAGTAAGAATTTTAAACCTGTTACTTACCCAGGTGCTGTCCCTGCCTGCTGTGTGATGGGAAGAAAAGTCCTAAGTGGAATAGGAAGGACCCTCTGAGTGCGGCGGTCAGGATACCTAACAACTAAACGCGTGTTCTCAATGCAATACCCCTAATAAAGCAAAAATATGCACCAAGATTAAACCACAAAAAAAAAAAATCTGGATCAAGAGAGGCAATAAAATAAAAGAAATAAGTAAAAATCAATCACTGACATTTAGCTTTTCCATTGCTCGGGCTGCCATGTTTGCATTCCTAAAATTGACAAAGGCACAAAATCTCTCATGCAGCACACGGATACTCTCTATATCGCCATACCTGCAATGAAAATAAGAGACATCTGGTTACCCACTTTGGGTAAAATATCACCCTCATAAGCTTCTGCACAACAGTTTTGTTAACAAAGGCTAATTTTAACCCAGAAATAAGTATTGAATAGCATACCACAGTAAAATCATACATTTTAAAAAGGTCCCATAAGTGTTTCTCGGTTATCTCTGTTGTCACATTTCCTACCCAAAGAGATGGGCAAGGGCTTCTACAATAAAATAAAAGACAATATGATTAAACACATGTTGAAAATGAAAAGTGAAAATCATTTTATGTGACCCTTTAGTTTGAGTGAACACATGTTCACCTACCCTGGCTGCACAATTGATGCATCTTGGCCTCCAGCTGTGGAAACACAACCACATTTTTACTAAAAAAAAAAAATATTGAAATGTAGCATAAAACACACCACATGTATAATTCTATACATTAAAAAAAAGGAAAAATGATAGGGATGTCCTGATACTAGTTTTTCATTTTCAATACTGTTATCAGAGCTTTAGGTGTAGAACAGTATAGAATAGAACAGTTCTGATCAGTTTTGGATTATAAAAAGCACTGGAATTTTTTTTTTTTTTACCTCTTGCTGACTCTGAACAAGATGCCAGAACAGCCTGCACAGATGAAAATCTCTCCAGCAATGACACACTTTGCATCTCTTCAAATCCAAACTCCTAAGAAGAAAATATAAGAATAAAAGAGTCAAAATGTCCAGAAGTAGTTGGATCTGGTTAAAAAAAAAAAAAAAAAAAAAAAAAAAAACAGTTTCTTTTACCATTAGTTGAAGGACTTTGCAGCTAAAAAGGTCATTGACTGCCTCCTCACAGTCTTTGTCAAGTTTCAACACCTGCTCCATGGCCTTCTCAGCCTCGCTGTACCGCTACCCCCACAAGCAGACAAACAATTTGCATACTGTACAACACAGCCTTACAGATGCTAACATTTAGCAGAAATATTCCTTATTGTATTTAAATCTGCATAGCAAGAATGCATTGTGCCCACCTTCATACCAATGAGAGCTCTGCCTTTGCGAAAGTATCCTTTGGCCCACTCTGGAGCCAGCTCGATGGAGCGTTCTGCATCTCCCAGCGCCTGAGGATATTGCTCCAAGCAGTAATAGCAATACGAGCGGTTTCCAAAGAATCTGCAGAGTTAGGATTTAAATATATGACAAAAGGCTGTATAAAATTTACCTTAATAAAAGGACTTCTAGTTTGAAGTAGGGCCGAGTGATTCATTGAAAAATCAATTTCTTTTCCTACCAATGCACTTCCATAGATCAAGGTGACATCAGTGCATCACTTTGTTCTAAGATGTGTACCGATAGCTGATGAACTAGCTGGCTGTAACACCACTAGTTGCAAACATTTAGTTTGTTTTAATTTTTTTGCTGTGAAATTCTGCATTACCACCATTTTCACAGCTTGAATTCTGTTGCAATTTAAATCAAGGTCACCTGAAACCTAAGGTAGGAAAAAATAAATGAATCAAATTTGGTAGGAAAAAAAATTGAAGACCAGATTTTTAAGCCATCATTTTTTATGTTTAAGGTCCATTTTATTGAGACACTATCAGTTATAGAGACACAAAGTGCTGCATTATTAGAATTCCCAAGGGAAATAAAATATGGTTTTCTATTTAATAAACATCTGAATTATGTTATTAATGCAGTACCCTTAACAGGCTGAGCATCCAGTGGCCTGAGGAAAAAAATAAAATAAAAGTATGAATTTCTCCTTGTGTGCAAGTCAAAGTAAACCCAACTGTTCTGTGAAGGCTTAGAAGATTTGTTAGAGAATATATATATATATATATATACACTATATTGCCAAAAGTATTTGCTCACCTGCCTTGACTCACATATGAGCTTAAGTGACATCCCGTTCCTAATCCATAGGGTTCAATATGACGTCGGTCCACCCTTTGCAGCTAGAACAGCTTCAACTCTTCTGGGAAGGCTGTCCACAAGGTTTAGGAGTGTGTTTATGGGAATTTTTGACCATTCTTCCAGAAGCGCATTTGTGAGGTCGCACACTGATGTTGGACGAGAAGGCCTGGCTCTCAGTCTCCGCTCTAATTCATCCCAAAGGTGTTCTATCGGGTTGAGGTCAGGACTCTGTGCAGGCCAGTCAAGTTCATCCACACCAGACTCTGTCATCCATGTCTTTATGGACCTTGCTTTGTGCACTGGTGCACAGTCATGTTGGAAGAGGAAGGGGCCAGCTCCAAACTGTTCCCACAAAGTTGGGAGCATGGAATTGTCCAAAATGTCTTGGTATGCTGAAGCATTCAGAGTTCCTTTCACTGGAACTAAGGGGCCAAGCCCAGCTCCTGAAAAACAACCTCACACCATAATCCCCCCTCCACCAAACTTTACACTTGGCACAATGCAGTCAGACAAGTACCGTTCTCCTGGCAACCGCCAAACCCAGACCCGTCCATCAGATTGCCAGATGGAGAAGCGCGATTCGTCACTCCAGAGAACGCGTCTCCACTGCTCTAGAGTCCAGTGGCGGCGTGCTTTACACCACCGCATCCGACGCTTTGCATTGCACTTGGTGATGTATGGCTTGGATGCAGCTGCTCGACCATGGAAACCCATTCCATGAAGCTCTCTGCGCACTGTTCTTGAGCTAATCTGAAGGCCACATGAAGTTTGGAGGTCTGTAGTGATTGACTCTGCAGAAAGTTGGCGACCTCTTCGCACTATGCGCGTCAGCATCCGCTGACCCCGCTCCGTCAGTTTACGTGGCCTACCACTTCGTGGCTGAGTTGCTGTCGTTCCCAAACACTTCCATTTTCTTATAATACAGCTGACAGTTGACTGTGGAATATTTAGGAGCGAGGAAATTTCACGACTGGATTTGTTGCACAGGTGGCATCCTATCACAGTTCCACGCTGGAATTCACTGAGCTCCTGAGAGCGACCCATTCTTTCACAAATGTTTGTAAAAACAGTCTGCATGCCTAGGTGCTTGAATTTATACACCTGTGGCCATGGAAGTGATTGGAACACCTGATTCTAATAATTTGGATGGGTGAGCAAATACTTTTGGCAATATAGTGTATATATATATATATATATATATATATATATATATATATATATATATATATATATGTAAAGCGACAGATCTGTCTGTAAAGCGACAGATCTGTCTGTAAAGCGACAGAGAAATGAAGAAGAGTGGCTAATAGGCCCATGGTCATGAATCTCTAGTTATCAAGGGGTTATCAAGTGGCAGAACTTCAACATGACACCCATCCCTGCCTAGTTTTTCTTTATCCTGTTTACTTAATCAAGTGATAAGCCACTCAGACTGCGCTGTAAACCCAGAAATGCAATTGGTTGGAGGTAATCCCTGAACAGGCCTTTTACTTTCTGGACCTGAATTATCCACCTCTGCCCATAGGTCATGGACACAGCAGCCATGAGCAACAAGGTTTTCTGGTTCGAGACAAAAATTATACTTTTTAGTCTGAACAAAACATACCATCTGGAGTGGAAAACTATTGCCAAACCCTTGCAACATAATGACAGTTAAAAACAAAAATAGAATGAATTGGCAGGGGCATTATGCTTTGTCATTAATGCAAATTAGCTCCACATTTCTTCCGTTTTAATTCTGAAAAAAAAAAGACACTGTGGTTCTGACAAACAAAAACAAAATACAACAGTTCTTTATGAATACTTTTGCAAGACACAGTCACTTATTTTGCAGACAGCATATGTACCTGTAGTCCTTTGGATCACACTTTATGGCTTCTGTAAACATGCAGACTGCTTGTGCATACTGCCCTTCCTGCACCAGCTTAATACCTTTTTCTGAAAGACATACAAAATAAAACAAACTTTAAATAACTTTCAGTTGAGACACTAGCTTAAAGGCTTGACCAATGCATCATAGGTGAAATATCCCGAGGAAAGAAAGTGTAAATCAATAATATTCTAAAAGCCATTGTTAAAAGTTTAAATGAAAAATCAATTTAAAGACTGCTTGTTGCAAGGTGCTGAAAAATCATTCCCTACCCGTCAGTGATGCACTTTTCTTGGTCATATTGTCAGTTCCATTTGTCTGTAAACAGAATAATCCTTTCAATGTGTTGCATGCATGGCAATAGACACGCATTCACAGATGCATTAAATGGTTGTCATGGTCCAGAGTCCAGTTCTTCGCTTAAATAAGACTTTGTACCATTCAGCCATTTAATTGATAAGTAAACAGATCATTTTTTTTTTGTGTGTGTGCAACATTGATCGTTTCATTCACCTCTTTTCTGGCCTCATTCTCTTTGTTTTCTTTGGATTTGCGACTTGATCCTTTGGGCTTGATATGGCTAGCAGCATTAGCAAAGAAGGCACTGCTCACATCCCATTCTGGCTCCTGTAGAACACAATAAAACCAAACACTGTTATAGATCATGTGCCACTCATGCCATCTGGCTAAAAAAAAAAAAAAAAAAAAGAACCAGGCTACACAAGACAATTTATATTCCAAGTCTTGTGGGTTCATGAGAACAATAAGAGCATTAGACAGAGAATATGTAATACACTTATAATTACGCAGTACCTCTTCAGTTGACTTGGCTTTTGTCTTCTGCTGCCCTTTGAGTCCTGTGGGAGCCATAACCAGAGAGCTAACATGCTTGTCAGGAACAGCTGATTTTGTTTCTTTGTTCTCCTCCTTTGTTGCCCTTTGTTTCTCCTCTTCAGCAACATCTGCTTCTGATTCGCTTTCATCCAGCTCAGACTCTGCGCCGCCATCCTCTTCATCGTCCTAATATGTGACAGCACATGGACAATTAGCTTCTAACAGCAAAGGGGAAATGTAGAACATTTTTATGATGGAAACACTACCTGTTCAGCGCCATCATTTTGCTTGATCTGCTCTTGCTTTTTTTTTTTTCCGGCGGCGCTAAAAAAAAAATAATAAAATACAGAATAATACAGAGCACCACTCATATGGATTAAAACAAACTGGTGATTGATATCATTTAGAGCTCACCTTCCTCTTGGCTCGCCGTCGCTCTGCTTTCCGTCTGACCTTTTCCTCCTCGCTCAGGTCCTCTTCATTTAATGCATTCTGGGCAAACACACAGATGGTAGATTAGATCCACACACCAGAGACTCACTTTTGAAGTCAAAGCAGGTTTGGTCAGGATGACACAGTACCTGTGATAAAGTGGCATCATGACATGGGTCAGAGGTTGCAGCAATACAGTCCATCGGCTCCTCCTGCTGCTGCACAGCAGGGCCTGTTAGGGAACAGAAAATACTGTTTAAGGTTTAAGCTTTAAATGATCAAAGCAGCACACTGACGGTGTATACTAATTTTTTATCATTATTATTATTATTACAAACTAGTAGCTCACTCTGGTTGCATACAAGGTTTTTCTTTTATTTGTTGTTTTTTTTTTAAGTTTATGGCATCCATTATTTAATACTTTTGTATTTTTAGGTTTTATCTCAGTTTCTTAGCAAACAGGGCCTTCTGTGTATATTTTAAAACAACAACGGCAGTACAATTCTGCATATGTTTGCAGGGGGGTAAACAAGGATGTCTTACAACCAAGCCTGTTAGGTCCTCCCAGTGGAAAAGTCCGAGATAAAGCGTGAGAAAATAAAAACAACATATTTGTTTCCAAGTGGGATAAGACTTAAATGGGGTTTTTATTACAGAATGAATGTTTGTGTTCACAAAGAGGAAACTAAAGCTGCAGAGTTGATAGTTGAGCAAGTAAACCTCATCTTAGTGCTATAGATTTTAGTACCAGTAATGATAAGAAGAGACCAAGCTATGGTTTTACTACGTGGCATTACAGGATGGATGGGCTCTATTAGGTACCTGCCTCTGTTGTCAACGCCTGGCCTTCTGATAGTTTAGCAGCAATGCTGACAGACGGCGCCACATAGGTTTATGTCAGCATACCATGTCCCGTGCTGAAATTCTATTTAGGCTCAAAAAGAAATATCAACGCAGTATCCGGATGGACACTTTGTGTATATAAACCTATTTTATTAAGATCAAATTGTTTTTGAATAGGCATAACATGACTATGTCCCTTTAAATATATGTTTTTGCTTTCGTCTTTGATGTGATGCCAGAGAAAAAGCCAGGGAGAATGGAGTTTTTTTGGGTTGTGGGTCTCTAAACATCGCAGCGTGCAAGCCCAAAATAACAATGCCATAGACTGGGAATCACCTAAAATAAATATGATTACTTCACTTTGTATTCATTTATAAATAAATAGTGAAATGGTGACTTTAATTTTGTGATTTAAAAATGGATATTTAATCACTTAATGGGATTTCTTTGTAGAACCATGCTGAATAGCAAATTTAAATGTACGTCTGGAGAAATACATTTTATATATATATATATATATATATATATATATATTTATTTATTTTATTGCTATCCGATAATTAATTGAAGCAAAATATTTATCTTTTGCAAAATATTTATCTTTTGCAGAACACTTTACAGTACAGTATTTTATTTTTATCTTTTAACTCTTCACTATTATGTTATTCTTACACATTTTCTAAGGTCCATATTTGTGTGACCATTTTTTCTATAATGTTTCTGGTGCTGTAAACACCAGAATTTCCCCATTGTGGGACAATAAATTGATTTTCTATTCTGTTACATCTAACCGTATTCAGATTTAGCACTACCAAAAAAAAAAAAAAAAAAAAAAAAAAAAAAAAAAAAAAAAAAAAAAAAAAAAAAAGACGACTATTCTGTTAATCTAAGAAATACTCAGCACATACACGTATTATCAAAATAACCATTAGTTGGATTTTGTCCCCAATGTCCCTCCATCCAGCTCCAGGGTCAAGATATTGATCAAGATCATCCCAAAAATCGTCTCACCCACTTTGTGTCTCTTACTTTGTATTTTTTCTAAAGAATATTCTTTAGCTTATTGCATTGTTTCATGTTGCTAAAGCCTAAAAAAAAAATGCTTTTACATTTTATATTCAGGTAATCTTTAGTGAGTGTAAGCATTAAAATATGGTTTAACTTTGACATTTATAATGCTTACAATACATCGCATTTGTTATTAAAGGTGACTCTGCAAGATGTGGCAGATTAACAGATTGAACATGTCATGTACTGCAGGACAGTGTCACTCGAGGGTTGATTTTGCCAACCCCTGACCTACACCCACAGCCAACAATGCAGCATTCCTGCATCATCTGACTTTAGTCCCACTCATTTTCGTCACATTTTAACAGCAAAAAATACAGCTCAAGAAAGTCATGCGTTTCCAATTTTTTTGTCATATTAAACATAAAAATTCTATGTTTAACTATGTAGAGCTCTGTCAGGACCTGGGTAGATCTCATTTTAAATGCTGTGTCCTCTGGATGTCAACTAAATATGTTTCTCTGTAATATTAAGATTTTTCACATTTTATTAAAGCAGAAATTTGCAAATAACTTTAGATGTAGACAAGGGGAATTGCTATTCTTCATGCTTTCTGAGCGTCAGGAATGCCTAACAACAGGCTAGAAATTGCTCAGAGGTTTCTCTTTGGCTTTAAGCGAGAGGAACAGTTTAGCCATCGCATACCACAAAAAGTCCCGTTGAGGACTGCCGTATGACCTACAGAACAGGCACTGCGTTTTTATATGTAGTGTATTGTTTGGGCACAGAGCAGAAGGAGGCACCGCTCTGCCGTTTCTCTTAGAGTAGATGACAACAAATCACAAGACAAATTCGAAGCAAAATAAAATGACCTTGGAGGAAACTTTGCAGTGTCAGATTTCCATTGGTTCAGCGAAGTTTTGCGGAGAATGACAAATCCATACGTGGTCTGTGAGTCATGCTGTGACTCAACGTGATGATGGATAGTTTTGCCTTTCAAATTCCTGCTTAGTTTATACTCTATTCCTTCTGGGGGAAGAAACAAAAAAGACAGGGGAGCCTCTGGGCTTCCTCGTTCTCTCAATGTTTATGTGTAATCTCCTGGGTGCAGTAGCTCTGGTCAACAATGCAGAAAGCAATAGGAATCGTCATAAAGCCCGCTGAAGGTACCTGGAACTCTCTTCATCTACTAGTTTTTATGTCCTTAGGTATGGAATCCAGCTGAAACAAACAGTGTAGTCAGCATAAGGAAATAAAGCCAGCTAATCACGTAGTCTTACTCTTCCAAAACAAATGGTTTAAAAGTTGCAGAATCTCTCTGTTCACAAATAACCTAGGCGGATTCCTCTCTGACACTTAAATGATACAAAATTTGTGGACAAAGGCAACAAAAGATCCTCTGTTTCTTCTGTTCAGAGAAACTTCCCCAATCAGAGTGCAGTTGAAAGGTGAGCTCTTTCCACAGGAATGCAAAATAACAGTGCATCATCGGGAACTGGTGGGCTGGACAGAAAAAAAAAAAGCATTGCAAGGCTGTCTTAAGAAAAAAAGAAAAATAAAGTCAGTGTTTTCCTTTGACTTAAACAGGTGTATATTAGCTGCATTCTTCTTGTAACAATGTGAAGCTAAAAATGGATGACTGTTCTTTCGGGTGGGGTTTGAAAAAATAAGTAAAAACAAAGAAAATTGTAACAATAGATACTATTTCAACTCAAAAAACATTTGCAGATGTGCAGAAAAGCCTGAAATCTGATCCCATAATTAAAAACATCTGTTCTTTGGAGAAATGTTGACTTATTTCTGGTTTATAAAGTCCCCCTATCATACTAAATCATGTGTACTAAACATTTTGCAATTAAATAAATAAAAAAGGAGGTGGACATAGTTTAAACGAGCTTCAGACTCAACCTGTCGCGAATATAAATAAACAGACAGGCGAGGTTTTTCCATCTATATCTGAAGCATTGTTTTCATACCAACGCGAACAGGGAGCGAATGTTTGTTTCTATTTGGCCTTCAAATCAAACCATTCTCACAATTATTAGCCACATTCACATAAAAGAACCCTGCCAAACGAATAAAACGTGTTTTCTGAGTCAGCTTTAGGTAAAAGTTTGGATTTGTTGATTAAATAAAGGCGAAGTAGCGAGTAGAGGGAAAAGGGTGGAACTAGCAACATGGGAACTTGTCATTGTTGCTTCAACTCCATTTAACTCTTTCGACAAAAGACAAGAGAGGCACACAATAACAAATAGGAACCAGAGTGTGTGTTTCGCATGTCGGTTTACCTCCAGAGTTAGTCAATTGCATCATTATTGTCGGTTTTTAAAACTTGTGGCTAGTTGGTTGAAGTTTTCAACAGAGGGACGTTAACTTACCGCTTCCGAGTCCCAACAACCGGCATATGTCTCTGGTGAATTTCATGAGCGCAACCATTCAGCATTATCCTCTTGAATAAATCTTTCCCTGGTGTTTTAACAAGGGTTTCAGTGGGCGTAGAGACCCCTCTCACGCATTGGGACAGTCGCTATCTACGGGGATCCTCGGTGGTTTAATCCACTTCCTGAGCGTCAAACAGGCCGACGCTAGTTTACCCTGAGCAGCGTCTTAAAGGCGCAGGACACCTGATGGAATGGGAACATTGTTACTCATCACGTGCCTGTTTTCCCCATCAAAAAAAAAAAAAAAAAAAAAAATGCTGATCTATTAGTCGTGTATTATGCCAAAATAAAGCATAAAAAAACAGCTGTGGCTGGCCATTACTTGCATTGGATTTAAATCATCCTCCACCTGATTACCCCTCTGCGCCTCCTGTTGTTCTTTATTTACTTGAAGATGTTTAATGTAGACCTGCACATGATCCAGGGGTGGAGCTAGATGGGGGGCCATGGCCACCCTTAGCTAATCATTGGCCACCCCTGTGGCAACCCTACCAAAGGCGTAATGACACAATAGGCCCGTAAGCAACATTATCTGGGTGGGCCCCATATAAAGTACAACACCGCCTCCTCACCCATGCTCTCTCCATTCATCTCCTGGTCAAAATCTTCACTGACTGTAGAAGCAACGTCCGCCTCCTCCTCTTTGGTCCTTTGAAAGAATGTGTTTATTTTTAATCGACACTCTGGATTACCCATAATTCCAAGTCATGGTTTAAAAACTAAAATACTCAAATACATCGTTCTTTAAGATCTTTATTGCAGTTTGAAACATATTATATGAGTGTATTTTTTTACCAACCATCTAATGAACTATACAGTTATTAAAATAGTAATTAAAAGCACCACTGTCTGCTTTGCTGTTGGTGTCATGTTTAAACGGATCACCATCCTGTTGAAATCTGGCATGTGTTGAGGTACAAGGTCCGGTCAGTCAAACTAGTATCAGGTGATTACATCTGCAAAGAGATGTCCTAGTCCTAAATTCCATAGGGGGCCAACCAGGTGTCAGTGACGGGGCCCCTAATAGGTCGGGGGGCCCTAAACAAATGCAGTCTCTGCTTACCGATAGTTACGCCATTGAACCCTACCATTTATTTCCCTCTAATACAGATGGTGGCAACAGTAATACTCTCAAGTGGAATATTCAAAACATTTAAATTTTTCATATATTAACAATTACTTGACAACAAAAACACTGTGGTTAATTATGCTCATTAATATACTAACATTAAAGATGATAAATAAAGAATTTAAGCAGAAATAGATTTTGTGTTTTATGGGGTAGAGAAAATTATGTGTCTGCAAGTCATCTAAGAGTCTTCAGGGAAATCATAGATAAATCATCGATTTTAATAAAAATGTATTAAATAATCAAGTCATGTAGATATTAGTACTTGTAAATATCTATTTTATGCAGAATGATTATTGATAAAAGTAGGTAAGTAAAGACAATGGAAATGATTTTCGCTCCATTTTATCCACTATACCTTTTATCTAGAACGCACGGATGTTTGAATATATTCATCTATTTGGTAGCAAAGGCTGTGGAAAAATATAGTTCGTCTTTATTTAGAAAATATGTTTTGCTCATTAATTTTCCTGTTGGAACAGTGTAGATTGACTGTGAGGTTCTGTGCCTATCCACTGTCGGCCACCCCTGAGTGTACATTGGTTATTGCCTGTCCACACTTAAAAAAACACCTACGCCTCTGACATGATCCAAATATATAATTGGCAACGCATTTAATTTCCCTAATTGAATAAAACTTTAACCCCGTGACAGACTTCCATAATTAAGCATTTATTGTAAAATTTGCTCAAATATATTTCAATTTCATGGCAATACTTTTCTCCCAGGTAAGTTAGTCAAAAGCATGAAATATTTCCATAATGGGTTACTGCATTTGCTTTTGCATGCATACAATTTCTCCAGGGAATCATGGCTTTTCCCCACGATACAAATATTTTTGATCTTTCTAATCCTCCTGGGTGTACGCATACATAGATTTTCCCCCTGTGTATTTCTTTGTTGTCGAGCAGTTGATGGGGCCCTCTAGCTCAGCTACTATATAATTTCAAAAATTGACATTGCTGACTTCCTCTGTTAAGTGAATATTGCGTTATTTTTAAATAAATATTTAATTCCATTCAAAAAATACTTCATTGATCCAATAGGAAATCAAATAACCAATACAACAGGAAATCATTTGGAAGGAATTAATGCTTTTAACCCCCATTTTCTTCAATCTTTTTCTTGATCTGTTTATTTTCTATCACCCATCCTACTAATAGGTAACCTTTAAGGTCTAGATAATAAGAGTCTATATAACTCCATATTTCTAAATCCATCCTATTGGTTAAGAATTATTTTCATGCAGAGCTTGAATGTTTGACGCTAAATATAATTTATTCCATCTAAGCAGTCCCAGACAATTGCAACATTTCACACACTGATAAAGTGACGTAATATATTATGCGGCTCTAAATGGAAGCTTTATAGCTGTTAAAGTACCGGACTGATTACTTAATGGCTTGAAACAAGCTCCACTATCACAATCTGAAAGAAAAAAAAAGCAATAACCATAAAACTTCTAACCATACACCAGTTGTAATAATATAAACATTACAAAACCAGTTTCATGTAATTTATTTGTTTACTTATTTCACATACTTTGAAGTTTTGTGATAAATCATTTCCATGATTGAAAAGTCTTACTTTTGTTAAAGATTACCTTAAAAATGTTCTTTGGAAGAACAGTTAAGTTTTGTACCAGTTTTATACATTGAGCTGCAATTTCTATAATAGATCATTAACATTTGAATAGATTGGTACATATCAGTTACATTCTCCAATCAAAATGTGTTTTTCAGAGTTCTAATAATCTATAAAGCAAGACATAGCCCAGGACTGATATGTTAGGGACAAGAGCATTAATCAGAGAAATTCAGGTGGGAGAATCTGTTGATGGGAATATCATCAGTTGAGCTCCCCACAAATCTGATCTTTATGGAAGAATGGCAAGAAGAAATAAGGAGAGACAAAAATATGTGGGAGAAGGTGCTCTGCCTAGATGATAACATTTTAAAATGTTAAGTTACATGCAAAATGCTTCATATCATTCAGAACACGCTCTCTCCACTAAGAATCATGGTGCCGACAGCATCATGTTTGGGGCTGATTCTCGCCAGCAAAGACATCAAAGCAGTTTAGAGTAGGTCTGGGCAATTAATTGCATTTGCAAAATAATTCCAATTGAACAAAATGCAATTTTTGAAATGGCTGAGGCACACATTTTTAATCACACTGTATTTACCAACAGTAAGACAGTAAATGTCACACTCGAGGCCTTTTAGTGGTGGTAAAATGCTTGAAGTGGGTTCGTCGCCACACAGAAAGGTAGAGAGAGTTGCAGCTGTCACGCAGATGCATGCATGCAAGTAGAAGTAAGTAAGTTCTGCAACATTGGACTCTGTGCAAGCAAGCTTTTGAATAATAATAATTCAAACTTTATTGATTTAACATTGGAGAAATGTACCTCTGCATTTAACCCATCCCCTTGTGGAGCAGTGGGCTGCGATCGGGGGAGCAATCGGGGGTAAAGGGTCTTGCTCAGAGACCCAGAGTGGCAGTCTGTAGGAGTGGGGCTTGAACTCAGAACCTCAAAGCTCCAAGCTCTATGCACTAACCACTGGCCCACCACTCCCCAGTAAAGGACCGAAAAGCCTGGGGTGAAACATGTACAAAATCTCTGTTAGTACAATTTTACATAAAATCATAATTTTGGTTAGAAATAATCACAAATTTCAGAAGTTAAAATCAAAGTTCAGAGTTGATGGGAAGATAAATGGAAGGAAATACATAACAATACTGGGGTCACACAGTTATACTCTATGTTGTGTTGTTGTATCAGATAACCTCCCAGTAAATACAGTAAAAAATCCTCGGTGAAGTATTACCAAACTTGAAGTTCAAAGGGTATTAGTACTTATGCAAGACTGACGTTTGTGTTGCAGTTTCATAAAACTGTTTTGCTGACATACGCATACAGTAATGGAAGGGTTTATGAACCCAGCAATAATGCAGTCATATATTTCTGTGATGTTTCAGATCAGATAGAACAGTTAGTGCTGCGTTCCACCCAGAAGAGCCCATCACGCCGCCACCTGGGAATCACCAAACACATAAAAATCACTCACTGTTTAGTCATCTGAGCAAGTAAACAAAGCAACAGTTAAAATGCAGCTTTGAATGACTGAGTAGTTATTTTCTAATACTGTCCAAAAATAAAAACAAAATAATAATGACTATAATTCCACAATATAAAACAACAATAAAGCAGTTTATTATCCCACTAGGAATAAATAAAAAATTCTACCTGGGTGACAGCCACTGCCACACAGATAGAGGCCTTTAACTGGTGAGCGGTAGTCAGAGAGTGAGGGCAAAGGTCGTGCTAGGTAGAGCTGGTCCAAAGACATTGATCCATGGAAGATATTCTGTGAAAACAGGCTCAAAATGTTTGCTATTGTTTGTGATTTTGACCTAAACAGGTACAGAGTTAAAACACAGAAATACACACATACAGTGTCTAGAAACAGATCAGTTAACTAAAAGAGCTGATGTGAACTTTGATTCTGACTCAAAAGTTTGAAATGTGCCTCTAACCATTAACTGCTTAGGCAACAGGCTCTGTGACGGACCAAGATTACTTCCCCCTTCAGCAAAAAGCTGACTGTGTCAAACAAATGAGCTGCGTGTCAACATTCAAATGGCTACTCAGTTTTAGGATGTGTGACGTGTACAGTCTGTACCCCTCCGGTGAGTCCAAAGATCCTTTCCAGGTCTGGGGGTGACAGGATGTCTCTGCCGACGACAGAACTTTTAAACCCTGGGGCATATTGTTCCACCCAGTCAAAAACTACAAAAACAGACAGAGACTTTTTAACTGAAGCTGGTGCAATCAAAAGGTTATCCATATGTCAAACAAACACCTTTGTTTAAGAATTTAAAAGGTCTTTATAATAAACACTTTCTGCCGACTTGTATTCACCAGATTTAAATGTAGTCCGCAAGAGAAAATGTTAGCAAGGCATATTTTTACCATAAATGAAATTTGTGTCTCTAACCAGTGTCTGCAAATGCCTCTCGGTCCTGTTCGGTCCACTCCCTGCCTTCTATGTGGTAGGGGGTAAACTGGGTGAACAGTGACACTACATGGCAGCCAGGGGGAGCTAAAGTGGGGTCCAAAACAGATGGAATGGTCATCTCCAACATAGGTCTATAGGAGAGGAGAACATAATACAGTACAGGTTTTATACAGATTACTCTTCACTAGCTTTTTTAATTAGCTATTTCATATGGTTGGCAGGTGATTTCCAACTATCTACTTATAAAATATTGAATCAGTATGAAATCATATTATATTAATTAATCAATCATACTGCATATATTTTTCACAGAGTAGAAGCAAAAATATTCATCCAATCAAAGGCTAAGCAGGGTAATATTCTGTGTTAAAAGTACCAATTTATGTTTCAGAGTAATAAAGACTTGCAATGAATATGAATGATTCTGAAACAGAAGAATGGAAAAATAGGATATACCTTGCTGAGGGGCGCCCATTCATGGCCTCCTTATACGCTGCCTCTAGTACATCCACATGTTCACAGTTTAGATGTATTGAGCACTGATGATGGGGTCCAGGTTTATTATGTGGGGTGGGTGATGCCAGGAAGTTTGGAAGCTTGTCTACTGCCACTAAAGAGGTAGATGCCCAAAAAGAACAGTTTTGTTTTATAGTTGATGAAAAGGAGAGAACTTCTGCCATTTCTTAAGACATTTTAACAAATCCCAAAGGTTAATAAAATGCAGGAATGAGGCATGCAAACTGCTTCGATAAAACATGTGTAAACTGATCATTAGCTCTTAGGAGCTCGGCAAATTAAAGAGAGAGGTCATATGATGGGATCTAATCTTTCTAATAAATTCAACGGTTACATTCTTTCATCATTAAAGGAGCCAAAACGCAGTGACAGAGAAGAAGGGGGGCAGTGCCTTTTAGGAGGAATAGTGAAAAAGTTGCCAATTTTCTGCAAAGTCACAACCTACAGACCTGCAAATTTCATGTGTGCATCAGAGTTACTCAAGTATAACATGGGAATCAGTGTTCAAAAAGCTGCGTTCAAGTGGAATAAATGAAGTGGTTAGTCCAGTGCAAACATGTTCTGTGGAGGGATAAACAATATCTTTCCATTAGGCAATATGGGTCTGGCAATTGTCAGGTCTTTGTCTGCTCTTCCTCAAGTGTAGAGTTGGGGCAGAAGGGACCTAATGTGAGATCATACCTAGATAAGGGAGTTTGGTGCAGAAGAATTTGATAGGCCTGACCTCCACCCTATAGAACATCTTGGGGATGAATAAGGGGGCGGAGACTGTGAACCAGAGCTTCTGGTTCAAAAATCTATGACAGTGTATTAGTGTAAAGAAAAGAATAAAATGTGGCCAGAGAGGAGCAGTAAATATGCCAATAAACTTTTAAGTTCCTAAATTCAATTAACATGTTAAGAAAAAAAAACATTCAATGTCAAACTGTTGGAAATTTGAAAGATGAAAATTATGATTTTACAATTTTGCAGGCATGAATTTATGGAACTAAACTTAATCTGTGACCCATAGTGCAATGCTTTTATATCAGTCGATTTTGATATGAGCCAGAATTAAAAATGTAACCCAAACCTATTTAATCATAACCTTTAGAATAGGCCAGCCCTTCAGCCAGCCTTGATACGAGTGGCCCTGAGAGGTTGGGAGACTGAATCCTTTTCTCTTACCCTAATTCTCCGTAATGCCATGTAGTTCTGATCACAATATATACCAATACTGTATTATTGCACATCCCTAGGTTAGTTTCAGGTCATCTTTTAACTTTGATGAATAATTTTGTTCTGGAAGTTCACTTATTTTCTTTTTCTACATTAAAATTAGCTAATAATTCTTTAATATTATTCTTGGAATGTGCTGTAAAGGACTGATCAACCTGACTGTCAAAGTAGCTGCGTATTGGCTTCTTTTTCTCCTTCCTTGTTCACATTGCAGTCTCTAAGTAAAACATTTTCACACGTTAGACAGTAACTACAAATTCCTTTAAAGTGAATACATTTCTGTCGGATTCTAAAACCAAATGCAAATAAAAGAAGCCTTACGGAAAATAAGAAGGTACTACACCTTCAACATAACATCCCTTTTAGGATTCTGCTATACTTCAAAATAGGACAGATTACAATGAAGGCTGTAACAGAAGCAGGACAGGCTCACCATTAATCTTCGTAACAGGTGACGTATAGTCTATCTGATCTACAGCTTTCATGAACTCTTCAGAAAGAGCCTCCTAATGAACAGAAGTTAGGGATCAGCCATACAATTTCATGAGCAATGCCAACATAAGATGCAATTCTCAGTATTACCTTCGGCGTCAGGCTCTTAAAGGTAATATAGGGGGTGGCATTTGATAAAACCACTTTACTGTGAATTTCTGTGCCGTCTTTTAGGGATACTCCTTTAGCTGCACCCTCTGAATCAATGAGGATCCGTCCTACATCCTGTCAAAGACGCAGTGGAGAAACATCCAACCAGGTTCCTCAAGCAGAAATTGGAAAATATAATCACTTTTAACAACCACCTTACCTTTTCTGTAAAAATGTCTACTCCGTAAGACTGAGCAGCCTTTGCTATAGCACGGGACACACCTCCCATGCCTCCCTCCACATAACCCCATGCTCCTTTCTCTTTCTCCAGTTCCCCCATTACGTGGTGCAAGAGTACGTACCTTGTTTGAAAGCATTTGGCATTTAATTCTGCTCCGGTACATTTATAATGGTGAGCAAGAGATGTTTCTCACCCACTACCGGGGTTACTAGGACTGGTCATGGCTCCTATAACACCGTCAGTGGCCAATGTTGCTCTCAGTGGCTCTGAATCGAACCACTGAGTGAGAATCTTTGACACAGAAGAGACGAATAATAAAGACACAGTCGAGAAGGTGCGCTTCATTTGATAAAAGATCCAACACACCTTCATTATTGGTGCTGTTATAATCTGATAAAGGTCTGGAATATTTCCTCCAAGTTTGAGACCTTTGGATCCAAAAAGAAACCAGTTAAAGCACTGAAGTTAAAGGAAAATGGAAAACAATCATTTATCATGGATTGGTCCACGAACCACATTTGAGAAAAGGCAGCAGTGTTTTGGCAGCGGTCAGCCTCTTCCTTGGTGATCCAGCAGTAATTCCTCGTATATCTACAGGTGGAGCGTCTAGTAGAGGGTGGATAGCGCTGGCTAACTTTTCAAGGTATGCAGCAAACTCTGGATAATTCTAAAAAACAATGGGGAAAATGTAGGAGAGTAAAGGGAAGCAAAGCAAATGACAGTCTAAGGAGAAATCTAGTGATGGGTCCAGAAACTCCAGTGCGTCGGTGCATACGTCAAGCTCCTAGAGTAAAACCCTGTATCACCGCACGTATCGTTTCAAGAAAGTCCCATGACTGATACAGGAGCTGTTAAGAACTCACTGCGCTACATTTGTTTATAAGTGCATCTGCCAAAAAATTCCTCTGATCTTTTGAGGTTCATTATCAGATTCATGAAAAATATGAAGCAGCCTCAGGAAAAACAGGTTTTAGCTGCCTGGGGCCATTTTGATCGCATTTTTGTTTGAATTTTCTCATTGGACCATTCTTTTCCTCTCATTATCACTCGAGTTATTGGAATTTAAATTAAATTCAAATTGACTTTTAATTTACAGTACTTTACTTATTGTTTTCTATCATAGTCCATATTCTCATTAAGGTCATGGTTTTGGTTCTGTTTAAGTGTTTATTTCCATTTTGTGTTTTTCTGGTATTTTTTGGTTATATTTGAGTTCTTATGCATTTTTTATTTACCCTCTGTTTCCCTCTTGTGTCAGTCTCCTTCTCCTATCTAATTTCTAGCAACTTCTGTCCACACCTGTTCCTCATCTCCTAAGCTAATTTCTCTTCCCATTTTTTCTGTCTCCCTTATATATGCCTCCTGTTTGGTTTCTTAGTTCCTCATGTTTTTCCTGATGCCTCCTGAATTTTTGGTTTTTGGTATTTTTTTTTTTTTTTTTTGTTTTTTGTGGAATTTTGCTTCTGTTTTCCTTTAAATCATTATTAAAGCTGCATCTCTGCCGCCTTCCGTCTCTGCATTTGGGTCCTCAACTAACTTCCACTAAAACTGACAATTCACATGTTCAGCTAAATGTTAATGTGTTCACACCATTTATTGACTGCATCTAAAAATATTAAAGCTATTTTCATTTGAAACGAAGATAAGAAAATATACTATTTAACACAGAATTACTTATTATTGTACTAGTTTATCAAATCAGTGGTAGTTTAGTCTGTCAAATAGGCTGGATGTAGGGATTTTAAAGGTCCAGTAGGTGTCAGTATTGAGTAACATAGAATCAAGGCAGTATCAATACAGTTTTCAATCTTTCATGACGCCTCATCAACTCATCACTAGTTTTCATGCAGCAAAACAGGTCACACACAGCACACAGTCATTTATTAAATATGCTTAAATAAACCTTAGCGTCCTTTTGTGAAAACTTGCCAATCTCATCCTGGTTTTTTGCCAGATCTGAACCCAGGATAAGGGACCTTGGTGGGGCCCCCTTTACACCCTCCTCCAACATGGGGGTGTAAGAATGGGGGTCTCTCATGAATACATTCAGCCCATGTTTCTGCACACAAATAAAAAACAAAGAAATTGAGAAAAACAGGGATATCACTTGTGCATTCATTTTAAGAGTGTAAGACATCAGCAAAATGCAGTTGAAACCAGAATTTTACATAAACTGAATAAAAAAACACTTTTTTTTACATCTGTTATCAGAAGCACTTATAAACAGTATGTCAGCTTTCATACAAAAGGAAAAGCAGAGAGTGTACATTTCCCAGAGAATACAAATTTTAGGTAAAACAAAATTATTTCTCCCTTGACCGTAAGCAAAGTTAGCTCTTAAGATGCTGGCAACCATGGAAATTCCCCCTACAAGGAAGAAGCATTGAAAGTCAAATTTGAGCATGAAAATACACTTATGTATGTTTTTGTAGGCAGGATCTGTCATTTTATCAAACAATTTTTTATTATTTTTATTTATTTATTTTTTTTCCCCTAAAATAATCACAATTACTCATAGGGAAGTGCAGGGGTTTGTTGCATTATGTTGTGCAGCTGCTGGAGAAACTGTTTCCCTTTAAGTTAAATTGCATCAAGAGAAAAGAACATCTTCTCACATTGAGTAAACCAGAAGTAGATATAAAATCTAAACAGGGAATTTAGACTAATTTAATGTCTGTCAGTGACAAATGGAATATCGAGTACACTTTTATACAGTTTATGTAAATATCTGGTTCAGACAGTAAATGAAATGTTTGGAAGTGATTTGGATCTTTATACCTTAAGCTCGAGATCCCTGTAAATGTGAGGTCGTAACAAACTGAGCAAATAAGAACACCTGGAGAAGTGAAAACCTGAAGACAAGAGATTTTCTTTTAGACTGAATGAAAACAGTATAGTAAGTAAAGCGAAAAACAGATAATTGAAAAAAACTAAATATTTTAGCTGTTTTTTCTTTGCTTCTACTTGGAAAGGAAATTAATAAAAATACTTCTTCCAATGTTCATGAATAAAGAACGTGCCATGAAGTGATACCTAGAACTGCCCAATAAGCCACTGCACTGAGTAAGCTTATTACCTCATTCCTTTAGTTTATATTATAAGCTGCAAAATAAAAACTCATGAGCTGATACTATGAACAATTAAAACCTATTGCTTTGTTAGTTCACATAATCAGCTGTTTATTGTAATTGCATGACTCGTTTCTTGTGAACTAGTTACGCAGGTTTGTTTCCTGTTTGGATCCATCCTACCAGGAAATATCTCCTCTGAAACAGCAGCTCCTCCAAGCACATGTCTGCGTTCCAGCACTGCAGTCTTCACACCTCCCTTCTGAAGATAGGCAGCCTGCACACACATAGTACCTTTGATCCCATGCTGGAAGATATACAGGTGTAAAGACTAAACAGGTTAGGAAATAATTGCATGAACTCACTGCCACCAGGCCGTTATGCCCTGCAGAGAAAACAGGTTTTGCATGTGATTACATTTCAATTGCATGAACAAAATAAAAGCTTGGTGTTTAGTTGCATCTGAATTGTGCAGGTTAAAAAGCAGGTAAAATTAGACATGCTGAATTCAGCAAATCCAAATCACAGACATGGCACTCCAAGTTTTAGTTTCCAAAACTTTGTGACTTATTTTCACCTCCTCCGATGATCAGCGCGTCATAGTTTGTTTTTAAAGCGGAGTGATTTGATCTTGATCCTCTCAGTAGCAGAGCCTGGAGCCGACGACCTCGATTCGTCCACACAGCTGCAGCCATGGCAGTACAAGTACCCCTTTCTGTTTGCTGCAGCGATGTGCTTTTCTGGCAGTAGGGAAATGATCATGTTATCTAACATCGATCCCGCCTCTTTTCCTTTTCTGTGCTCGGAAAATTTGGTCCGGGTCTCAAGCTGCAACAGCACCTCGCTCTGTCCACTTTTTTTAATCCCCATCTTTGCCGCTGCAGCCTCTGAAGAATCAACAGTCTTCCGTGTATGGCAAGCCTTTTTAACATAAATTCGGTTTCGTCTGACCATCCATAATATCTTAAGATACATTTTGACAAGAAAAAAAACACACTTTGACAAGTCAGAATGTCAATTTAAGATATCTTTAATGCAAAAAGCTGAATAATTTAAGATATCTTAAATTCATTTAGAGATATCTTAAAAGGAATTTCGAATAGTCGAAATTACAAATCAGGATATCTTTAAATTTCCTAAAATACATTTAAGATATCATAAATCATCGTGGCATTTGAGATATATTTAATTATTATGACTAGTCAAACTGAAATCGAGATATCTTGAAATAACTTTACGACTTGTCGTAATTTAATCGTAGATATCTGAATGTGTATTTCAAATAGTCAGTAATTCATTCTAGATATCTTAAATTGACGTCTCCATACAAGTTAAGGGTAAATCTGACGTCATTTCGACTAGTCTGAATGTTATTAGAGATATCTGGAATAGGTATTTTGACTAGTCAAAATATAATTAGAGATATCTTAAATCGCTAAAACGTCTAGTCTTAAAACAATTACATCTTGAATGGTTGGCCCCCTACGCAAATGTGGACTAGGACGTCTCTTTGCAGATGTGAAGGTGTGAAAAATTCTTCTCAAACCCCTTTGACAAAGTGGTGCCTGACCGGATTTTATTTATACCCTAACACTTAGCAGAATTTAACAGGATGGTGAGCCGTTTAAACACGAAAACAATAGCAAAGCACTATTAATTACTATGTTAATAACTGTGTAAAGTTCATTGGACTGTTGGTAAAAAAAAAACACACCCATATAATATGTTTTAAACCGCAATAAAGATCTTAAAAGAATAATGTATTTGACTATTTTACTTTTCACACTGCGACTTGGAATTATGGGTAATTCAGAGCGTAGATTAAAACCAACCCTTATGTAAAATGTGCGTAATGGTTGGGCGGGGGGGATGGGGTGTTGTACATTATGGGGCCCACCCAGATAATGTTGCTTATGGGCCTATTCTTGTGTCGTTACGCCATAGGTTATTATATAATAACTTCGACGGTGGGCCAAATATTGCCAATTGAAATATTATCTTGCAAAATATTCAGTGGTGGACAAAGTAATCAACAGTAGTACTTGAGTTAATTGATACTGATATTTTTGATATTGATACTGGTAGTCAAATCTTACTCAACTACAAGTAAACGTTACCTGATAAAACATTTACTGAAGTTGAAGTACTGAAGTACTGTCTTTTAAAAATAGTTAAGTAAATTTAAAAGTATTTAAGTATTCCAAAATACAAATCATATTTTGTAATATCAGTACATTTCTGTCTAATTTTAAAGAACCTTGTAACTTTCAGAAACAACCCTGTGTACTGGCCCCTTGAACCACTCTGCCACCATTTCTAAACCACCTGTGAAGAACTTTAGCATATAAATGCCACAAAAACATAAGGACAGCTATTTTGATTAGTATTTCATATTTAGAAACAAACCAAAAAAAAAACAAAACAGGAGTGTCTTGCTTCTCCTCACATTGAGCCTATGGATAGAAGTTTAAGATAGTCTGTTAAAACAAAGAAACTACAACTCTGATTTGAGAACTCCTCCTACTGAACAACTTGGCCCACATGGCAACAACTAACACTGTAATAACATTTATAAACTGCAAATAATATCTGCCCTGAGTTTCTCACATTTGTGGAATGTCATGCTAATCTGTAAAACAGTGGTGTCCAAATTCAGTTCTAAGGGCTACTGTCTTGCATGTTGAAATCGCATTTGAAAAAAAAAAAAAAAGCAACAGTGGATTACAAAGCTAAGCTGAGCCAAAAGTAACAAGTAACTAGCAGCGTTCTCGAATATAGAGGAGTAGAAAGTACAATATTTCACTTTTTTAATGTAGTGGAGTAAAAGTCATACGTACCCCCCTCCCCCACAAACACAAAAAAAAGACTCAAGTAAAGATACTCAAAAAAGTTCTTAACAGTAATCAAGTAAATGTACTTTGTTACTTTCTACCACTGAAAATATTGTATTTGATTATAATACGTTTTACTTACTATAATCTGCTTTACTTACTTACTTACTTTGAAACCAGTAAGTTGATTTTCCTCTAAATTTACATGTTTAATAAATGAAATCCACCTCTGTGTATTAGATTCTCCTTATAAGTCTGACTGATCTGTGAAGATCTTTGGGGTTTTTTTTAGAAATAATTTGTGAAAAAACAGATAAATTATTTTCAAGAAGCAGAGCAGACATGTCATTGGTTAAGCTGTAGAGGTTTTAAACATTGTTTGGTTAAAAATAAAATCCACAAAATTGAAATATGTTAGAGAACACTGTTTTCTCTAGCATAGAAGCCCCAAGACACATGTAATGGGACATACTCGACTCAGATTAGACCAAAATTTACCTAATGGCCTGCAAAAGGTAATGTGCAGTGGAAACTGAACTGAACACATCACCCACAGTAGAGATTGCATTAGGTGCGTACTAGGGGTGTAGGAAATAATCAATTTGGAGAAATATCGTGATTTTCAGCTGCCCGATAGGATATTGATCTTTCAGTTGTTAGTATCAATTTCAAAGAAACAAATACATTTTACCTAAAACAATGAGGGAGTGGCTGTGCAAAGGTAGCCTAGTGATGAGCCCTTTTCCTGTGCAGCACCATATCTGTAGTTAAGGCAATCACAGTGCAAGACATGGACTGCCACAAACCCCAAACAACGTAACTGAAAGATCAATACCTTCTGATAAATATATACAGCACTTGCTTTTTTATGTATTCATTTAAATTCGATAGCTGGGAACAAAGGTGTAACTTAGTAAGGAAAGTTGGTGGGGACACTAAGGGTGGCAGCTGATGAACTTACACTTACTTGACAGAAACGCTTTCAAAAGGGGTTGTTTTTTCCAAAAATTAGCTCAAACATATATACTGATATTTATATTTATAGGTAGTTAAACGTTATTGGAAAAAAAAGGATGTATAACAGCCAATTCTGATGCCAACAGCAATAAATAATGCCTCCCTAGAATGGAAACAATTTCAGTTTCATTCATCCATCAATCCACCCAGAAAAATGTGGATGGATTGACGGATGTTTTCCCTTTCAGCTACATCAGTGATGATCTTCCTTCAAAAGCAGCAAAATTAAATTTAGAAATTTGACCCAAATATTTTTGAGAGCCAAAGTCTATGTATTGAAAATATTGGTGGGGACATGGCAGCACCAGTTCTTCAGAAAGTTACACCCATGGCTGGGAAAAATATCGCAGTGTATACTGTTATTACAATATCATGATAATATCGTATCGTGATCCAAGTATTGTGACATGTATCATATCGCAACACCCATGACAATACTCACCCCTAGTGGGTACCTTAGGGAAGTAGGTCAGAAGACATATAGAACTAGAACCAAGAATACAGTGAAAGAAAACCTGCAAAAGATTGACATTAGGGCACAGGTTCAACCTTCCAGCAGGACAGTGAGCCCAAAGCTGGAGTGACAATGTGTGGTTTAGGTCTACCTGCTGGGCCTAGACCCCAATCTAATTAGAAATATTGGATAAAGATATAGATAAAAGCTGAAATTACAGTTCATAAATAGACTTAATCCAATATGATTTAGCATTAACTATTTTGCAATAAATATACACACACAAAAAAAAAATTCCAGTTTTTGGATGTGAAAAGAGAATTACAACAAAAGTCTGTAGCTTTAATGGAAGGAAAGGATGACTCAGCAAAGCAGACAAAATGATAAATATATGTGCTAAATCATTTTCATTTTTAAGATATGATGAAATACATATATTGCTTTCACCACAAAATCTTACTTAACTAGAAAGCTTCTAAATGTGAACAGTTATAGATCATTTTCTTTGCAAGAGTGCTACTTTTATGATAAATGAAAGCAGTAGATTATGCTGTAAGTATCCAAAAAGACCAAAAGGGGGCAGAGCGGACAAACCTTTAAACCCATTTTAGTTTGACAAATCTCACTAATTTTAGCATAATGTGGAAATAGCTAATAAATAAATAAGGAAAGACCTTCTGCTGATATTCTTGTGAATGTATTAATGATTCACATTTTCATAAAAGTAAAGGGGGAAATAAACAGGAAACATATACAGTACCTGTTTTCCATACTTTCTTCATAATGCAATTCATTTTCTAACACTAACAAATTGCAAACTTCTAAAATACGAAATTTCTTCAAGGCAATCATTTCACAGCTTGTCCGGATGTTCACTCAAGTCATGTCAAGGTATAAGAGCTCACCTTAAGAACTTTTAGAGGGGCTCTTAACGCAAAATGGTTTCCTAGTGCTGCTGTTAAAGGTGTCATCTTGGCCTAGTGGTTCATTTACTATACATTAATGAGGTAAGAGGCCATAGATCATGATGTCCACCTACATAGCTGCAGTCTGTTAGGTCAAGCTGGAGATTGCCTGTCAAAATCTGAAGGAAGAAGTAAATACTTTTATTGGGGGAAAAATAACCAAACACAGCAGAAGATAAGCAAGTTAGAGTCTCATCTGTTCCATATAGTGAGGATTTTGACTGGATTTTGCTTAGGCAGCGTAAAATAATTCCTGAGGTTTACTGAGATTGTGCACTCTCTCCGCAGGAGGGGATGAAATAGGAAGCTACTGTGATCTAGGGTTTCCTAAAAGACTTAACCCCCCCCTTCCTTCACCATATTAGACTAGCATTAGTTTCACGAATGAGAAATGATCCTGATATTGTGTCTGCTTGGTTTTCCTTAAAGGAGCGTCTGCGGCAGCGGCCAATCAACCTTAACTGGATCAGACTATCCAGGCAGGAGATTTTGTTCTTGTAAGCAGAAATTAACACTTCATTCCCCTTTGTCGGCAGAAATTCAACACTGCAGCCGTTGAAGGCTCTCTCAGGCAATAAAGGACCAAAATCTAATTACACTTTAACAGCTCTGCACCAA